ACACCGCCATTAACAAAGATTTGGAAAAATCACCACCCGAACTGTATTATGAAAATTTGCTATGATCAGCGTTACAGACATCGAAGTTGTCATAGCAACGAAATGACGCCATCATAATTACAATACACTCAGCACTGGGAACTCATACATACATACATACATAGCCTTTATTATTCTGTCTGGTCGTTTTAGCGCCATCGGCACTAATTGGGGACAAAATCGTTTACGGGAGCGATTTCCTGCAAATAGCTGCCTCGAGTTTCGTGAAATATATTGAGATATTTTGGATTGAAGTTTTTATGGTCAGAAATGCAGTAAAACTGGACCATAATGATATTCGGCCGTTAGCCCAGGGTCGTAACATGGTATATGGGCTCAGGGCTCAAAGCCCAAAATATGATTGGCATCAGGGCTCAGAGGAAAGGGCTCAGGGCTCAGAAGAATGGGATCAGGGATCACAAGGCTTTTAAGCCCGAATCAAGGATCAGATTTATTACACGGTCTAAAAATCTCTTATCACAATGTTTTTCTGCATGAAGGTTTCTGTCCATAGAATATCCTGGCCGAGGTACATTACTTATTCTTGGCTGGCGGCAGTTCCTGTCATACGAAGTCCTGGTTGTTTGACGAAAACATGGTATCATATTCTTAATTTATTAATTGTTAACGCAACTCCTCAACGCACTGTCAACGCCAGAAGGCAGATAAAGCGATTTGTACATATCTTTTTTTGCAAGAAATGGGGAAGAAGAAAAAGGACAAAAAGAAATCCTGTGACGGAGAAAGGAACGTAAGTAGTTCCTTGACTGATTTACTCCTGACAAGGGTCTAAGCATAGAGTTTTTCAGCCGATCAAACATAACAATAATACGCCAGGACAATAGACAAACCGATTCATTGAAAGCGGAATTTACTGCATAGGTCCCAACTCAAGCAAGTCACAAGGCGACTATAAATCGAGGTTCGTATTTTTTGACCAGTAACTTAACCCTTAAAAGTACTTAAATAATTAGAATGGACGTCAAAATTGAATTTGCGCGCTTTGTTGCAAAATAAATGCTTTCTCGCAATTTCATAAATCTGCTCTAATCGCATGGAGTTTAAGGGTTATCGCGAAGAAGAGAAGTCGATCTGCTGAAAGAGGTTCAAGGGAGTGAAGGACAAACTACAGTTCAAGACGCAGCCGAAGAATATGAGATTATCTATTCAAAAGGCGACGTAGTTGCTCTCAAGCACAATTACAAGAGGTATTTCATTCCTTTCCCTTGCAGTTCTTGCAAAAGATCTCAACCATAAGGGTGACGCATTCCAGGAAGATCACATGGGATGGGTTTGAGATGGCTGAACAGTCAGAAGATCCCCTTGTATACCAGACTGGGCACCGTGAAGATAGAAATTCACCTGAGTGCATATCATCGGGAAAGTTCAAATAATGAAAGATGGAAACTACTTCTGTTTGAGCTGCCTTGAAGAGCAACGCCTAGTTGCATTGCTCCTGGGGTCAGTTGAATCAGATGATTCATCTGCGTCAGGTGGTGACGAAGAGGAAGGGGAGAAAGCTTAGGCGGACAACGTTTCAGAGCCAATAAGATTTGAAACTGGAAGGAGAAGGTCTGGAAGACCTACAACCAGATATGTCCTCTGACAATCTACAATGGTTATTAAGCCAGGAAAAGCCATTAATGGGCTTGACACAGAAACGCTGTTAAACTGTGGCTTGCATCATTTATTTTTCTACTTCACGTAAGGTAGGTATTTTGCTATTGGTAATCAGGATCGTGATCCACACTATAACACACACAGAGTGAAAGAGGAAATTCACGTAAGACTACACTCTAACAACATCAACAGGGATAGCAGAATAGAAAGTCCAGAAGCTTGGTTGCCCTTAATCAAGAAACACAGCAATAGGAGATCCGTACGACAGCGGACCAGTGAGGCAAAAGCTCATACAAACAACGGAGTAAGAAATGCACCAATCTCAGCGGCTAATAATCGACCAACCAGAACCCGAGCTTGGAGAAATATAAGTTCACGTGTGACCAGTCGATGAAGACTAGCAAGGCAAGGTCTTTAAGTGTTGCTTTTTCTAATGAACCCTTGAAGTACGTAGTTGCATGAAACGTCGCGATCTACATCATTAAGTGACTGAATCGTGAGACAAACGATTACACTTTATCAACATCAATACTGTAGACCAGTAACACGGCCGACGTGAAATTTTTGGTTACAAGAGTCTCTTTGGAAACAAAACATCTGTGACCCACACAGATCGGACATTGATTAACTGGACAAGTTATCCGGGCAAGTAGATGTTCGCACGGGACAGAAATTGGAAAGCTAGAGGAAGACCTTAGTTAATTTCAGAAGTATCTTACAGTGCCGTTAATTCAACCAGGGACAAACCAGCGCTAGCTATGTTTGCTGTTTGACTAAAAATGTATTTATTCGAATTTTGAATCCAGTGCTTTCATGTGATTGGCTTATAAACCTCCGGGTGGCGTTGCTCGTATGAGCAACACTGATCGGAAAATAAACCTATAGATACTCTTGATGAACGCTTCATCTGAAAAAATCAAGTTTCCGGCGCAAGATCTTTCACGATGTACGATACGTAAAGGGTAGTGGACTAATTTTAATGTATAAATTAACAATAACTTACATTCTGTATCTTACTAACGCTCCCGTTCAAGAAAATCAGGTTTTATCACTTGTCTAGTATCGCCAAACATTATATTTAAAATGTTCTAAATAGAATAATGCACAAAAAGAGGTTGACTCATATTGATCTTTAAAGCTCTGATAGAACCCACAACTGGCACTAAAAATTAAAGTTGATGTTTTTCTCTTCAGCTCATTTGAGCATGTTTTATATTCTATATTTGGAGATAAACAAAGTTGTCTAAGTTTAAATTTTGTGTAAAAACATGAATGGGATCAATTTTTTTATCAGGGCTCAGGGATCAAAATTTTGGGGAAAATGGGGCTCAGGGATCAAAATAACGGCAAGAAAATAGGGATCAATATGTCCCGGATATACCATGTTACGACCCTGGTTAGCCTGTAGAAAACGAAGCGCTTTCGAAATGCATTTTCACCTCATAGTAGTTCTAATTTTTGGTCGCAAATTTCGTAAGAGCCTCAGAATTTAAGGGTATTGTCTCCAAGTTTCATTTTCACGTGAACAGCAGTAACTAACCATGCATTTGAAATACGCAGAAATGTTGGCCATTGTTGTCCACGAAAACATGAAACTTGGAGACAATACCCCTGAATAACTCTCACTTGTAAACACGAAATTTCCGACAAAAAAATTAGTGAATTGTAGCCCTTATTTTACTGCCTTACAAGATATCAATAATTTTGGAACTCTAAGGTCATACAAAATGACTGTTAATCTCGATAATCTCAATTTAAAAAAAAAATCTATCTAGCGGTTTCAAAATTATTTGCTTACTTGTTTGAGTAGACCAAAATGTTTACAAAACCGCTAACAAGAACGCCTAAAAACATTTTAATCAAATCCTTCTTTCTAGCAATCGGCTAAAGCTCTCGCCATGATCTTTTTCATACACGTTTTTAAAAACATCTGCTTTACAGTAATTTTAAATTTTCCCGGTGAGCATCCCCGTCTTGATCAAATGGGAGTTCCCCCGCCGGGACATATCGCACTATAAAGAAAGAGGCGAGTACGGTGAACTCGCCCCGAACTCGCTCTCATGTACACCTCTACATTAACCTGGAATCCTTCCTGCCAGTGTCAATTTCTTTTTGTTGAAACAGTAATACTGTGGCGTCGGTCAAATAGGTCACTTCGTCTTTAATGGGGGAGTTTATAGCCGTCTAATTCCTCGAATAATCAGAATAATTTCCGCGGGAAACACTTATATAAAAGGACCCCACACCCGTGAATGGGTCGATACGTCAACGTGGCTCGATACGCGCTGCCTGAACTATCTTTCATGACCTGACAAAAGGAGACGTATAAATCGTCCTCAAACAACGTGATGTATTTTAGTTTCTCGTGACTTCCTGTAAAAGTTTTTTTTTCGCGGATTCTTTTAAATGTTCCGATTGCGACTGCATCATTTCCTCCCAGTTTTAGTGAGGTTTCTGTGGCTAATCTAGAGAGACAAGATCTGGGGGACATCAAGAAATCTGCAATTGAAGAAGATCATCTTGCCTCTTTCAACAGGAAGCAATGTGGGAAGCGCATTCTACGGTGTCTTTCAAGTGGCTTAATGACGAAACGCGCGAAATATTTAAACGACATCTGATACCCACTAAAGAATCGCAGCAAAAAAGCCTATTTCTGAGCACTGGGACAATAAAACAGCGACCTCGAGTTCTACGGAAATCAGTAATTACTTTTCTCTCCAAAACTACCAGGGAAAATTAAAAAATCGGCAGATTTGATATACTGTACCTTAAAAACGCTGAAAACGAAATTCGCCGTCAAACTTATTTTTAAATCAGAGCAACCACAATGTTTAAATCAAGTGTTTGTTTTCTCAACACAATGTGATGGGTGCTTTTTTTTATAAAACCCTCATAACATCGCCGGGATTATTACAAATTACATTGCTACGCTATCACCCGACATCTGGTCACATAACACTGATACCGCGGTACAGGTTTATGAAGACTTTCAGACTACGAAATGAAAAGTCGAGCAAGTGTATTGATGTAACGAGTCAAAATTCCTGACCTTCCGAGCTTAAATAAAGGGAATGTCCATCGCATTGGCAGGCAATGTTTATAGTAATAAACATCTTATTGACCAGTGTTGATTTCGTCGTTATCTGTGAACTTGAGGGCGTCATCGTAAGAGCTCAAATGACAACTTGACCTGTTAGGGTCTCGTGTTGCGGAATTTCGCCCAGCAGATTGGTTCAAATCTGTTTGAATAGCCTTTGTATGAGCCAAAACCAATAAGGTGATTCAAAGAGCTGTCAAACTCTGAAGGTTCTCGTGAAAAAACGCTGATTTCCTGCCCCATGCACTCCTGCGGTAAAAGACAACCGATACTGACTAACTCTTACGAACTCACAGGGAATGCATTGAAGGAATTATCCTGCCCGAATTTTTCGTGACCCAAAGAAATTATCTTCAAGACTCGAGTACAGTGGCAGTTACGCAGTTCATTCACCGTTGCTAAACTGCTTTTCTTCATTTATACGACGACATCCATACTTAATCTGAGCGCCCACTTTTTACAGACGCGGTGAGTTCAAGGTTAGTGCTCGTCGCACGCATTGTTTCGCTTTTTGTCTGCATGAATACTACTTTTCCTCTTTGAAAATGTTGTCGTTTTTTCCTCCAATCCTGCCAAGTATGTAAGTAATCAGCGACTTTGGTAAATATAACCAGGTTACAATATTTCTTTCTAGGTTTGGATTGTCAATAGCCATGCAACAAACAAGTCGCTATGACAGAGCGGCCAGCTTATCAACCTCTAAATTCACAAGTGGGATAATGAACTGCTGGATAAGGCTTTGAGTCATGCGCTCATCTGAGTGATATATTCTTTTTTTGGGCCGCGACTACCGACCTAGCTAACCATAAATCTTTCCACAACGTTCGGGTGATTTAAAGTTTAGGGGAAAAGCGTGTAGCAGTGTAGACAGAACAGAAAAACCAAGGTCATCTTCTATTTTATTGGATAAAGTTCAGACTTGCCTTTTGAGAGTTGTTTAGACTGCCTTTTTAGCAGAATGGAAGATTCCAAGCCGGAGATACATTCCGCAAGTCGGGCACATGATCGAGAAACCCAAACATCTTTTGATATGAGCCACATACCATCACATGGGACCTCTTCTAATGACGGCAGGAGAGCCCATGGTTACCACCCTTACAACCACAGGCATGGTCAGCAATTGCAGTGGAGTGCAAACCATGTTTTTCATTCATCAGGGTATCCTGACTACTACCCTTATGAACTGCGCTATACGCCTCATCACCACCCTCCCCCTGCTATCCCTGGTCCCCCACCTCATGGAAACCACTACTACCCTGGACGGGTGCCGCACTGGCATAACTCCCCAAGCCCTGTGTTGCCATCTCATATATCCCCAGTGCCACATCCGCATTCTTCTTATCACCATTATCCATATCATCCCTCAGATGGATTTTATGCACATCCTCCACCGCTGCAAGGAGTTGCCCCTCCTATGCCCATTTCGCGGGAAAGGAGACACACAGATTCGGAAATTGCACGTCCCAAAGCAGAATGGCCACCTGGTTATCAGCCATTTGTAAAACCAATCATACCATCAGATTACTTGGCCTTTATCCATCGGAACCCAGGATCAGATTGTGGAGGACCACCATCCACTGCAACGTCGTCACTAAGATCAACAGTTATTGACCTTCCACATTCCAGTTTTCAGAGCCCACGGCCATCAGCAAGAATGACTAGAAAACGACCACTATCTAGTACAGCCTCATCTGTGGAGTCCATTGACTTAAATGCATTAATAAGGGGCTCACCTGATTCACTTTCAGGGTACCTAGGGCCAACCAGAGTGTCTTCAGCAGGTTCCTTTGGCCATTTGAGCCCTATAGCATTTTGCACCTCCCCTGGCTCACGACAAGCTCGCTATCCCATTGCTAGAAATGTGCTGATTACGACTCCACCAATTGCTCCACCTCGAATACCTTCACCATCTTCCATGCAAGATGCCCTCCCTAGTTCGACGACCGGTGCAGAGGGGACAAAGGAGGAGACTCAGGAGAACACAAGTTGTGCAGAGTCTCCCAAAATGACCAACAATAAAGAACCAGAAAGTGCCAGTTGCAAAGAGGAGAGCATGGACATTTGTCCCTTAGACTCCACAACATCCCCTGGCACTTCAGAAGTGAAGGTAGGAGCATAGTTATTGCTAGAAATATATGCTGCCTTCTAATTAGTACTTGTGCTATTAATTTTGTTTACAAATACTGACAGGATCTGTGTCAGTTAAGGGGAGCCTCCTAGGAATTGAATGGTGGGAGTCATGTTTGCTAAGAAGAGGGTGGATTAAGGGGTGGTTCTTAAGGGGCGTGCAGCCCCCTTCCCCCCTTTCCTGCAGAATTTTGTATTATTTCTGGAGAATAGTGACGAACATATATATCCAATAACTGGCAAGTGTTTCTTCCCTTTCTGAATTTTCTGTATCTGCCTCTGATGTTCCCTTGTTACCTAAAACAAGTTGCTTTTTTGTTTCTTAGAAATGGTTCTTCGGACAAGTTCCCTTAAATCAACAGTCTCCCATTCCTGCAAATCTCAAAAGTTAGGAGGAAGTGTTTATTTCCATGTTTCCACAAAACCCATGGAAGATCCCCTGAATTGCAGCATCTTGCTTTGTTCAACAGGGTATTTCTGTCAGAAAATCGATGCAGTACCATTTCAAATATGAATGCCACTGTTTTTACCAAAACAACTTCGCAATTTGCATTACAGACTTGACAGTATATAATTATTTGAAAGCATTCAATAATTTTTTCAGGCACAGTAACTATCTATCCAGCAATAAACACATATCGAGGTATAACTGGTAATGCCATTTTAATGTTTTGGTGACTTGCCTTGCTTAGATTATTGTGAGTGGAGTGAAAGTGACAGCTGGAAATATTATATCTTTGTGTCAGTAAAGAATAGCTTGTTGCATTTCAAAAATGTTAAAAGATTTAAATTTAGCTTGGGGGTCATTTAAAAAGTAATAAGCAAGTGTGTTCTATTATTTCAACTTTTTTCAGTACTATAACATATGTTGATTGTTTCTTTCGTAGCTTATCATGTGTTTAAAATTTATACCCTAAAACCACTTTTTGGAGTTACCTTGAAAGCTTAAAGGAAACTGAAAAGTTATTTTAAGTTACATGTTTCGGTCATTATGAAGCCCCCTGAACAAAAATAGAATTAATAAAATATTTTGTCTGAGACAAAATTATGATTCATAACTCTAGGCTATCAATGTCTAGGCAGATGACTTGTTAAGGTTATCAAAGTGAATGTTTTCAGTATGCAGATGGGTGCAAAAAAATAGCTGGATGTTTATTTTTTCCAACCTAGCCAAAAGCCCTATACAATACAGCTGTAGTGATATAGTGACATGCAGAATTTAATTTCTAATCTTCTTAGAACAGGACCGTTTTAAAAATAGAACATCAAAAGGGGAGAGAGTTAAACAGATATGGAAGTGTAAGATAAAATGTGTTCATGAACAAGCTATATTTTGTTGTCCGTGACATAAGAAATGAATTAAATACTGTGTGTAGAAAATGCCTTTCGAAAATTAATAAAAGCCAGAGAGTTAATTCTCATTTGGCCACTTTCCCGTATGGAGGCCTTATATTTTATGAACAGACACACACTGCACGTACCCTTATTATTCTTACAGGGATAGAGCAAGTTAGTTCTAGAGTACTGTAACAGCTCATGTGTTTACTGAGAGATCTGGATTATACATTTGAGAACATTCCAAGCATTGTTGAAACAATTGTGGGCAAACTCTCATGAACATCATCATCCTTCTGGTTACCTTTTGAAACCCACTGTAATTCAAATGGCATCCGGTGTAGTTAAACAGAGATTTTAAATTTTTAAAGTAATCAGTTATTAGTGGATTGGGTAATTTTAATTAGCAATACAGTTTTCTATTGATGAACGTGCTGTTTATATAGACAAAGCAATTTAAATCTCTCTGCTATTTTTCCTGTGTTTTATTTACCAAACATTTGGAGATTAGCACACCTTTGCTGCACTCCCAAAAGACCAAAAGAGCAAACAAATAGTACTTATAACTGTGGTAATTGAAAATGGATTAAAAACAAAGGATAATCTAGGAAGTGATGTACAGGAAAGACATGTCAACAGAGACACTGGCGTCAGACTGAGTTTCACTGAGGCTATAATGTTTCACTGCCTCTTGAATACTTCTTTTAAAATTCTTTAAGTTCTAGGAGGGGTAGCCTATTGCTCCTTGACCCATCATCAGCATCCAATTTCTCCTTGTAATATCAACGCTTTGTAAACAGAGTGGTCACGAGAATTAAGGACATGATCACACAACATACTGTACCGGTGTAATGAGTTGATACTTCAATAACTTCACCCCACCACTAATCCATAGAAACCCTATAGGGGTACCAAGAGAATTTCCATTTTCATATTTAGGCGTTGAAGGGTTAAATTATTCTTACTGTAGTGCCCTGCTGATGGCTTTTCTTAATTACCTCAGTTCGTGGTTTGAGACACAGCAGTTAAGCATTTTTGTTTTTGTTGCCTAAACAATGACATTCCTGGGTGGGGGAAGCTTATTTATGATTTTTAGTTTGGGTGGGTAGGTGTGTGCAAATGTGGCCCTGCTAAAACCCTTAGCCTACACCATGCAAATTTGGCTGCATTTTTGCATAACCCTTTTCCAAAGTGAGTGTCATGATAATTTTTTCTTATCTTTATACCACTGATCTATTGCAGACTATTTCTTTGAAAACCCCACCCTTAACAGCTCACATACCCATATAGCTTATAGATATCCCTCCAGCACACTGGCTTATAATGAGGGATTACTAATGTAGTTAATAAAGGCATTGTTAACTTTATAGCCATGTGGCCATCAGTCCAATCTGATTATCTACTGTAGATAAAGAATGTCCCATGCTAATAATAGTCTTTTTTTGATAAGCTGCTATAGACAATGAATCCTCCACAGATTAAAAAAATTAATGTGACATACATTGTGTTGTAAGTAAAATTAAAGGTCATTAATCAGTGCCAGATCCCATCCAGACCTTGAGATAAAGGGGGGGGGGGGAAGTCATCCAGACCCTTAGAAAATTGGGGGGGTCTCCAAAGAAATTTCAGTTTGGTCTAAAGATAAGGGGGGCCCTCGCCTGGATCCACCACTGTTAATAACAGATGTTTGTAGTTTAAACTCTGTGCATTAATCCTTAGAGAATTTAAGTACTGTTGTCAAATGAGAGAATTTTGCTAAAAGATCAAATTAAAGTATTTTGTTTTTCAGAATAATTTATTTTCTCATAACCTTTTCTCTTGGTTATGGATTGATATTGTTAGGAGACCATTGACGTTGGTCACTCTGAGGACCTAAAGGGTTTTAAATTTATTGAATAAACAGTGAAAAATCATAAATAAAATAGAAAAGGAGCAAAGGTTTACAGAACTTGAATTTGTACATTTTACAGCAGGAAGGCTCAGACAATGAGGCAGATGATAACCCCCCTGAGCAGGAAGAACAAGACCTCGTTTGTCACTGGAAAGAGTGCTGTAATCAGTGTGAAACACAAGATGAGCTTGTTCGACATGTCAACAATGATCACATCAAGAAGGATCGCAAGGACTTTACCTGTTACTGGGAGGGCTGTACAAGGGAAAGGAAACCCTTCAAAGCCCAGTACATGCTGGTTGTACATATGCGAAGGCACACTGGCGAAAAACCACATAAATGCAATGTAAGCTACATTATAATTATAATCAAATAGAGAAAGACAGCTTATGTTAACCAAAGAAAGTTTCAAAGTTAGTGAACAATACTCATAATAGACTATCTTGCAGGTGTCTTGAAAACAAAGACCCCCAAGACCACTAAGACCCCTTAAGACCTCCACCGAATGATTCTGAACTTTATCGATTAGGGTTAGGAAACTGAGTGAATCAGGTTCCATTTAAGTCATCATACTGGGCAAACAGAGTCACCCAAAATTTGATTAACCCAGTTTCCTAACCCTAATCAATGAAAGTTCAGAGTCATTCGGTGGGGGTCTTTAAGGGGTCTTTGTTTTCAAGACACTCCTATCCTGTCTGCAGTTGTGGGCTTAGTACCCTGGCCTTTGAGTGAATGAGAGGCTGAGGTTGACCTTATTTTGATACAAACCTCCTTTATTTGTTTTCTTAATATGGAAATTATGCTTGAAAATTAAAGTACTAGTTAGCATAAGGACAACTTCATTTATATGAGAATTTGCGAGTTTTCCATACAAATGGTAAGCGCTCAAGGTCGACCCCAGGCTTGTTTCCCTCTATTCAATTTACTATAACTGTAAAATAGGCTATTAACATAATTTCTTGGCATTTTAAGTATGCTTGCATGGTGATTAGGGCTAAATATGTTACTTGTTAACTTTTATCATTTTAGATGTTCTTATGTCAGTTTGAATTGTAGGGGTGGCAAATGGTACCTCGAAAAACGTGGGTCTCGGAAAATTTTGGCAGGATCTCGAAATCTCGGCAGCGTTTTTGATAAGTCTCAAAGTCTCGTTTTTTCATGGTTTGCTTTTACTTTTTTTGAGTCTCGAAACTTTTTCACCAAAGAGTCTCGGGCTCGGATTTCTAACTAGGATCTCGGTGTCTCGGCGAGTCTCGGATTTTACCATTCGCCACTCCTAATTGTTTATTTTGTGACTTGAAAGCCATGACATGTTGACATGGTAACATTGCATTATAAACTTGTTTTGCCAACTTTTTTTCTTGATATGTATCTTCATTTAATCTGAATCAATTAATATAATTTTCATTTCTTATTTGATTTTAGACTGTTCACAGTCCCCTATTTTTCTGTAAGATTGTTGAGAGCACTTAGCTTAAAGGGGTGCCATCTTGGTTTGGAATGTACCAAGGAGCCAGGGGTCTGGGTTAAATGGTGTTGGGGAGAGGGAGGTGAGAAAAACAGAGGAACTGTCATCTCCTCCTAAACTATCCCTTACCCCCTAAGTAGATTTGATACTCATTCCCGAGAAGGGTAGGTGCTCTATCCCAACGGGCTATGAACTGTCTAATAATGATAAATCATCTACCTTTATAGTACGAGGGATGCTCAAAAGCCTACTCACGACTTGAGAACCTCAAGACTCATCTCCGGTCTCACACAGGAGAACGTCCTTATGTGTGTGAAGTGGAAGGCTGCAATAAAGCGTTCTCCAATGCATCTGACAGAGCTAAGCACCAAAACCGGACCCACTCCTCAGTGGTGAGTGCTAATAATAGTTTTGCCCCTCACGTATCTTTTGTTGGACAATTCAAAGGGGTTATGTCACACTTAGTCTTAGCATCAAATTGTTAAAATCCAAAAATATAGGTCCATTTTTGTTTTTTAAGGGCACTTTCCATTTGTCAGAACTGACGGGCCAGACTCTTCCCTTCGTAATGAGACTTTCACTATTAATCAAAACTATCCAGCTAGATCAGTCAAATCCTAAATAGTGTGCAGGAAGGAGATGGTTCTCAGGGGCAGATCTAGGGGGAGGGTGCAGGGGGTGCGCACCCCTCCCTGAGATGACCTGCGGTTTTCTCATACAACTGGTATTCTGCAAAAAAAAAAGAACTATGTGGTTTATTGGTGTTGAAGTAGAGCAAGAGACGAGTGCACCCCCTCCTAAAAAAAATCCTGCATCCGCCCCTGGTTCTTCAGCAAAAACCCTTGGAAAAATGCCGATTTCATTGTCAAAATAACCGGTCCGGTAATGGTCTGGCTGGCTAGTTCTGACAAATGGCAAGTGCCCTAAGACTATATTTAGGCATTATTGAAACCATTTCCCATTTACTGTTGCAAGGGATGACAACAAAGGACATGGATTGAAACTTGATCAAAGGTTAGGCCATTGTTTTCAAGTTTCAATGCTATGTCACCAAATTTGTTTGATATCTTTGTAACTTTACAGGAGCATTTTGGGTGTGGGTAAAACAAGGAACTGAGCAAAGATACACAAGCACAGAAATGACCTTTAAAGCAGCAATTTCCTCATGACATAGCCCCTTTAAAATGCCAAGCTGCAGTAATGTGGTTCATGTACACTATTGTAATATAATTAGTACGTGTAATCAAATGGTGACGAGTGAAATTAGGGAATAATTTCACGAGTATACTATTTGATTACCTATTAATATCATGGGTGACGAATTACCTTAGCAATCGAGGATTTTTCTAGTGACTTGTTTATCCTGGATCGTATCGATCGGTCGTGAACTCCACTCTCTCAAACGTTTAGAGCTGAAATTTGGCTCAAGTTTTCAGAATTTTTCGACAACATACCTCTAAGAATCCTTGTTGTTGTGCTCTTTCGTGTGTTCAGGTTTTCTAAAGCGTCTTTTCATGCCCTGACATCTTCATTCATGACATTTTAAAACGTCGTCGCCATCTTGACACGGAGACGTACGGCAGGTTGCCATGGCAATTTAGTAATTTCACATGTGAAATTACAAATTAACGCTGAAATTTCGTGCCAAAATTAAGGAGTAATTCGTCACGTATGATATTATTATAATAATTTCATACGCAATTTCATTAGCAGTATAGTGCTGTGGTATACCTTATTACTTCAACTAGACAAAGGCCTGGTTGTTCAAAGTAGGATTAGCATGAAATTTTAACTAGGAATATTAAATTAGAAAATTTTTGTTGATTTTTTTGAAGTGAAGTTACTTTCTAAAGGGAAGCCAGCAACTCAAGAATTCTAAAAGATTATTATTTGGCATAATTTGCAGTTTCCACAACATAGAACTATGGGGAGGGGAAGGCACAGGTACTTTGGCAATAAAATGGATGTTTCTTGCCCACTTACTTTCTGGCAAACAAAGTTGAAATCATTGGGAAAATGTTCTGCAGTATATGTTTCCTTATGCCAAGAAAAGCCACTGAAGTGAAAGGCTTAATTTTGTCCAAAACGTCTTAAGTGTCCTTAAGTTCGGAAGAAAGACAACTTCTAAAAACGTTAAAACCTTTCTTTTAGAAACCCTATGTCTGTAAAGTACCAGGCTGTCCGAAACGTTACACTGATCCCAGCTCTCTGAGAAAACACACCAAGACAGTCCATGGAGAACAGGCCATCAAAAGGGTATGTCAATTTTGAGCAAATTTTGACTTCATTTAATGTTTTACAATGTTTTTCTTTATTAAATTTTGTGATCAATAGCAGTTGTTTTATTAACCTATTTTTGGTGTTGCAGTCAGCTGATAATAATATTGATTTTGTGTTGTTTTTATCTTGTTAGAAACTTTTAAAAGTAAGGGGGTGGCCTTGGATGAACTTTAAGGCCTGGTTGTTCGACGTATGAATCAATTAGGAACGGTACTTTTGTATTTGGGTCAACTCTGCCATTCCATTCGACTGAGCTTGTCGAATAGAACGGCAAAAGATCGACGTTGATTCATACATCGAACTTCATGTGTACCACATGGGAGTATTAAGGTTGATTTTTATCACAAGATGTAGCTACACATGTAACAGCAGCAGTGGCTATCAAATTCCTTCATCGTAACAGAAAATAACCTTTTATATTACGTTAACTTTATAATTTAATATCATGGTGTTTATAATTTAAAAATAGTTGTAACGTAAACATTTTTGTGTTATTGTATCAAGTAACCAGTTAGTCTTATGTGGGGGCTCTTCTTTTAGGCTTGGCTAAATTTACCTTTTATTTCTCTCACAAATTAACCATCAAAATTCAGATGCTAGCCTTAGAGTACTGAGCCCCCTTTTAAATAAACGTCATTACGGTGGCTCATACACAATAAGTGTCGTGCACAGGATGCAGCTGAAGGCAACAGCTGCTAAAACTTTCTTCAGCTGTTATAGAATGTGCGGGTTAGATTTGCTTGATTGTCTGACTTACAACAACATTATAATTTTAATTTTAAACACAGCTTAAGGCAGAAGGAGGCAGAGAAAAGCCTTCTTCAAATCCTGACAAGAAAGGGAGTGTGCCTCCTGACAAAGGACAAGGCCCCACCATGGCCACTGTTACACAGAGTGCCCAATCACCATCCAGTGCTACAACCGATCAGCCTCAAGAACCTTTGTCCCCAGGCAGAGATGGATCCAGTGTGGTTGGCAGTGTTTATCAAGGTGGAACTTGCTCTCAGACACTTGTAGGTAGCAGTTTTGATGGGGACACAGTTTCATCCAGTTGTGATAGAATTCCAGGAGGTCTGGATATTCCTTCAAGCCAAGGCAGTCCAAGAAGTGCTACTGGTCAGTCTACAATAGGCTTATCGCCAAGGAGTCCTCCATTTGTGAGCCAACTTCCTGACATTCTGGAAGGAGAATGGGAGTCAAATGATGGTGGTGCAGCAACAGTGCAGTCGGTTGATATCAGACCACCACACCAGGGAGTCACTCTTCCAAAGCTTGATGTTCACAAAAGGGATGTGGCATCATGGGTGAACGACGTTCACCGCAGGATGAGTCAGTCATCACGCAGATCTAGTGAAGGAAGTCACTTATCAGTGGAATTGAATGGTGACTCCAGCAGGAGATCTAGCCAAGAAAGTGGTTGGTCCTCTTATGGGAGTCGCAGGTCCAGCCGCGCAAGCCCCTTTCCAAGCACCAGTATTCAACCCCAAGAGGTTATTCCTCATTATCCCAATGGAGCTGTTCTTCCATTGCCTCTACAGTGCAGGCCACCACACTTGAACTCACTAGACACCAGTGATGATGTCCTCCGACGAACTAGTGAGACTAGTACATGTAGTAACCAAAGTGCTCCATACAACAGGTTAAGCCGTAACAGCAGTGGTTATGGAAGTCAGTCAAATCTGGCAGTTATAAGAAGCCCTATGTTTCACAAAATCCCACCTCCATCTAGTTTGCTACCACAGCGAACTGTGTGTGCTGATGCTGCAAGTAGGAGAAAAAGTGACACTGTCATTTGTGAGGCTGATAGCTCTGGAAGTTATCTCCAAAATGGTGGCAAAGGTGAGGTACGCCGTAGCAGTGAGCCTATTAGACAAGCAAGGGCAGCCCTGACTCGAATTGAACCTCCAACTGGTGCTAGTAACAGGGTAGCAGCAGTACCAAATGTGAGTGAAACTGGACTGATGTGTGGTGACTTGGATCCACAAGAATTTGATGCCTATTTAAATCCTCGAGAGGAGGGGCAGGTTGAATCAACTGTGCCATACCCACTTCCACAACAGACACAAAGACTGTGTCACTTTCCGTATCCTGAAGGACATGCCACCCAGCCTCCACTGCCACACCCCCCTACATCACAGACTACAATCCATCATCGACCAGAGCCGTTTACCCCACATCAACCAAATCCCTCAAACCATGGGCATCAAGGCAAGTTTGCGCCGTCAGATGCCAATGGCGCTCCGGCCCCAAGGATTCCCCAGAGAGGGTACTGGCCTCTTCCTAGGTACAGATCTGGAGGACAGCAGCAAGCTCCCATGATGCAGAATGGCCTCAACCACACACCATCAGAAAGCGGCACTAGCCACATCCCAGTGGAACATTCAGGAGAGAAAAGCCAGTATGACATGATGAATTATGAAGATGCAATGGTTGCAGGGCTGGGTTTATTATCAACTGAAAATGGCGGGGTGTCAGAATTTGTTGGAAATAACAACATGGTGGTGAATGACATGAACACTTTGTTGAACTCTCTCCACGAGGAAGAAAGGTACCTTGAGTTATGTCAATCAAGAGGCGTCACAGGAAGTGCTATGTCTATTTTCTAAGTTACAATAATAATTATTTGAGATGTTTTTTAACAGTCGTGTTCAGGGCAAATGACAAATGGCAAACATGAGTTTGTACCATGCAGGGTGCAAAGAAAATCATTTTTACAGCTTGCCATTCGGGCAAGCTGAAGCTAGCATTTACTAGCCCAGACATCATTTCAACTAGCCCCCAAAACTTTTTGACTAGCAGAATTGATTTCACAGTTCTTCTGTTATTCGAATTCCTCAAAAAGCATCACTTGCCCGTCGGGCAAGTTAAAAACAGAATTCACTAGCCCAAGAGCAAACTCCACTAGCCCTGGGCCGTCGGACACTACTTTCTTTGCATGCAGACCATGTGACCAAGTTTTCCTTTTACCTGTCATTTTCTGTTCCTTATAACTACATGGAAATCGGTAGATTCATGCCAGTTCTACACCTAAGAAAATAGAAAAATGAGCAGACAAAAACATTGCTTTGAGATGTTTTTGTCTGCTCACTTCCTATTTTGAAAATTTCTGAACTTGAATCTCACGTTTGCCATTTGCCATAAAATTGTGTGACTCTGAATCTCTCTTACTATGTCATTGCTATGCTAAGGATGTTTCCTATTCTGTGATCATGTGAGCAGTGTCTTTCTAGTCAGTCTCAAGGGAAAGGTACATGTACTTATGAGGGGGTGGGGAAATGGGACAAAAAAGGCATGTACTTGGTGTTGTATTATTACTACAGTGCAACCACACGAACTGAGGCCACCCAGACAAAATTTTGACACAAATTTTGAAATTAGCCAACCACGAGTCGAGATCTAAACAATGAAATTGCTCATAATTGTACCCTTGTTCTAAAAGATATAAGAAATAAGGAATCGTGATGATACTTTGACATCATCTGGGTTGGCCAGAATCAAAGCCAGCAGTAAAGAAAATTTGAACAATCTGAACTTAAGGCAACGGCTGATCATTTCATGGCAAATGGCGCTCAGCGCCCAAAGCGCCCAAATTTTGTTGTAGTTATGATTAATTGGTAACAGAACTTCCTGTCATCCAATTCTGTCTGTAATCATACTCGTGATTAAACAAATCAGATTCCCGCTATGTGGTCACCCAATTTTGTTAATCACTCGTATGATTACAGACCGAATTGGAGTCCACTTAGTCCTATTACCATTATTAAGAGACTGATTAGAAAACCAGCTGCACTGTACAGGCAAAAGCATTATGAATAATAAATATTTTTATAGCTATTGAAACGTGTTTTTGCTAACTGATGACCATATTGTACAGTACAAAAACAATTCCATGCGTAAATCACTGAACAACACAACTTAGTAAATTATTTTTAAGTAATTGTTGCTTCATTATTATATAAATAAATGATACATTAACATTGTAACTGAGTAGTTAAGAATGACAGTTTGCTTAAGGTGATTTTATGTTGTGTTAGATCCAACCAAAGACTTAAATTAAGTTGGTTATTAGACAGTGTTCTGTCAGTATTCCACACAACTGCCTTCTGAATGATTTGTATCATTAATATTTGACTAAGCCCTCTTCTGTTGGCAGTTTCAAGAAGGTATATTTTAGTCCATACTAGAAAACCTTTATGTGCTTCAAAGAACCCATGCATCCAGAAACAGATCTCGTGATCCAAATCTTTAATCCTTAATATTAAAAACGGAAGTCCGCCTAATTTGTTCCATGCATTTTTTTGTAGAAGCGGTGGAAAGAATTTGGTAAAATGGGTTATTTTGAGGTGGTCTAAGTTACAGACTTAGTTTGAATAACAGTTACTACCCTGTTAGAGGAAATTAACATGAATTTCAAACATTTGCATTAATTTAAGTGGAATGTTTGTAAAAGTCGTGTTAATTTCCTTCATTTTGAAATGTTGCGCTCTCTTTTGTAGTAATTTCCTTTACTTGAAAGTCGTTTTCCATATATTCACTATTCAAGCACGCAAATTCAAACTTTATTTTAATATTTTATTTGAAAGGCATTTTAATTTAAGTCTGTATGAAAGGTCTGAACTGATAGTGTGATATGTTGTAGTTTTTAACCATGCAGTGTACAGTGTGAAAATGTGTACCAAAATGTAACGACATTATGACAAATCATTTTATAATATTATATTGTGGGACTAATTTTATGAAGTAAATTATACTACTAATAGTGCTGGGAAGTGCAGGTAATCAGGTTGACTGGCAATGTAAAGCTTAAAAATTAGCATGTATAATTTTTTATGCATATGTCAGTGCTTCGATTTGAAATTTCTAAACTTTGTAACAAAATGAAGACAACACACAATAAAACTGATATTTTAAGTTTATCAAGAAATGAGATAATTTTAGCTCCTGGTTTTAATGCATTTCCGTTCATGTTCAGAAGCAATGAAAAACAAAACCCTGGGTTGATAATATTAATCTTTTAAAAGCGATATAATATTATCAGATCAACTTACACTGTATTACGGGTAAAAGTTTGAATATGACAGACCAAAAATTCTTCATTAAAAAGTAAACCACAAGAGATTTTTTTAACAACATTAAAATTTTTATTTGCACACTTCAGGTAAAACATAATTTTTTAAGAACCATTTTGGTCTGAATAATAATTTAAAAATAAGTTAAACTGGAGTACAAAGCTTTGTCATCAATAAGTCACAGAGTGCCATTTATGTTATAATAACAATATTGTGACTAGGAAAGTTAACCTGCAAAATTCTTGTAGCATTTCTCATTAGAAAACAGATACATTTTATGGACATTTCACTTTAAAATTAAAGTACACTGTATGTTGCCTTCCACGATTTGTTCTTGGGAGATCTCAACTAAATCCTGTTCATGTTCCATGGTATACTAACTTTAATTTTTAGTTCCTCACACCCTCTCCTGTCCTGTTTCAGCATGCTACATTTTCAGGAGTGTAGCCTCTCCCCTTTCAGTGCAATGGAGACTCTTCATTACCAATTTCAATTCCGTCAAGACTGTTTGACAGCTTGGACTGTATTAATTTTGAACATAAGTCATTCCAAAACTTGCAGTCTGTTGTTCTCCAAGATTGTTCAAGTAATGAAAAGGGCCAGACTACTGCTTTACAGGGAGTTATGTTTAACATAAGAGAAATGAATCCAGAGAGGGGGTTAATATTGTAAAATGTTATGCCACTTACACTTCAGAAGCAGTGACTTCAAACACAGAAGATCATTATATTACTATGTACATCACTTGTACTCAGTAACATTTTCATTCACACTTGAACATTAAATCTGTACCAGTTAGTAGGTTGATGCCAGTGTCTTTGACATTTGTGAGCATTAGAATTTCCTCAAGGGACTAGTGAGCGACTGTCAATTTTTCCTGAAAAGTATGGAAAAGAAATAAAAATTCTGAGATCAATATTCAGATGAGAAGAACATACCGGCTTCTCTCTTTTCACTCGTTCAATGCTGTTTTATCCAAATTTATAAAGAAACAGAATGATGTTATACATGAACATAAGATTGTACTAAACAACATTATTGCAATTATATTTATATACATGATCTGGGTTGAACATTATGAAAAAGCTGAAAGTCAAGAGACATACTATTTTAAGGTGTTCACAAAATAATATCACCAGGTTCTCTTTGTTTCAAATATTGTACGAAAATGAAGCTGTTCGCCCGACCATAGCCTAGCAACCTTTTGTGTTGAGAAAGAGACAGAGGGGTAATTCTGTTGAATGCAGGGATCAATATTCTTCATTAAAACTTTTACTCAGACTCTAACTGCCACAATTGCAAATTGCAACACTGTAAACGTTTTGCAAGGTTTACTTGCATGATTGAACAAACCTGTAAAAACAGATGGCTGATTTCGAAGCCAAGGAGTGTTTCTTCGAAAACCAAAGGAGCCATTGAAGCCATTTAGGGGAGGAATATTTTCCATGAACAAACCATGACCACCAACTTGGCTGGTTGAGTGCCCTGAAAGAATAATAATAAGAATATATAATTTAATCAATAATGGTAAAATATTACTAACAATAATTCTGTTATTTACCCTCAGCAGTATTTATAGCACTGATGCTAGTGGGGCCCAGCAAATGTCTGGAACAAATAATTAACAATATTATTGGACGAGGTTGAGCAAAATATCGTGAAGCCAAATGCTGAGGCAAACAATAAATATTGATGTGCGAGCTAGACACTGACAAATCACGATATTTTGTGATAACCGAGTTCAATAATTGTTTTATCATTTGATCACCGAGTTTGTCTTTTTTAATGAACATCCTTGGGCCATTTTCATGCAATAGTGATTGCAAGAAGGAGAAAAGCACGGTTTCCTTTACGCATGAGTAAAATATTATTTGCAGCCAAACACAGTCGGACGGCATTATGCATGAGAAGACCATTATTTGTAGGTAATTATTTGCAGGTCACGTGGTGGGCTCTTGGCCAGTGAAAAGAGAGAAAAATTTGCTTCGAATGATAATCTAACTTAAACTTAATGAGGTTAAGAATACCAACTGGCCACGGGCAAACCAGTTGGCTATTTTCAAGCATGTCCAAGCAGGGCTGTCATTACGAGGCGGGGGCCAGGATTTCCCCTGGCTACCCTGGCCGAGGATTTCAACTCAAGCTACCCTGAACCGATCCAGCTAGCAGATTTGTGATCAACAATGACCAGCAAGGGTCTTAATAGGGCTTCATGGATTTTATACCACTATCACAGATGATATTTTGAACATCACTTTGGTGCACTTTTTCTCACGAAAATGGAGGCACTGAGGGTGCATCCTTGCATGTTACATGAAAACAGAAAAGAACATCAGAAATATTATTCTCTGGTTTCTGGGTTTTGCTGACTGATTTGACGGTCAAACTTTGGGGAAAAATCAATTTAAAAGAAGCTTGTCTGTGAAAACACTGTTGCGTGGGCACAAAGCCATGGGAGTGCTCACTCAGGGTCATACAGGGCTCTTGTCACAACCAAAATCATCACAGGCAAATAATTATTGCTAGTTACTTTATTTTCTTTTTTCTTTTATTAACTTCGCCAGACAATAACATTAAGGTAAGTGACACTACAAGAAAAAAAGTGTACATGCATATATTCACAAGAGTACAGGCGGGGACACCACAACATCAATTGGCAATTACTGCGGGCCCAAAGAGAATGAGAGAGTAGCCTGTTTTTGTAGGTACGTTTCGACTATTTTGAGGGCGTTATTCAACCTTGTTCTCAGGCTCTCTCTCTCTCTCTCGCTCCATAGGGATGGGTAGGAGAGAACCCTGGGAACAAGGTTGGGCTTAATTTAGCAAAATATCTTACCAGCTCCAGCACTGTTACGAAGCTTAATGTAAGTACCCATCATTCCCTTGTCGTAGAATTTGTCCATTTGTTTTCCAGCAATGGAGTCACCCGGAGGGTCCTAAATGTATTAAAAGAATATGTTTGGAAAATGGGAATTTAAGAGGGTGGGCATGGGGAAGGGGGGAGGAGTGCTAAGAGATTTTCTTATCCCTGGGGGGGGGGGTATTTTCTGAAAACACACATGCATATCAGGTAAAACGAGTCTGTGTCAACTGTCATCATTGTGGACACTCAGAATGAATTAAATAATGTTTTTAATAGCAAAAAGGGTTGATAAAAAAGGGGGTGCAAGAATTTCCTTAGAAACATTTTAATGAGATTAACACAATAGGCCCTTTGCAGCTAGCCATTCACATGTTACAAAACTGCTATGCTGGAGAGCAAAAGTACCACGTGAATGGTTTGCGGCAAAGGGCCTCCTTTGAAATGCTGTGCAACAGAAGAATTATAAATCCCACTGTAGCCTACAGGGAATGGCATTTGATGAACTATTGTTTGTATTGAGTGTTAATGTTGAAAGATGCTGCTTGTTATCTGTGCCATCAGGACCTAAAAAATTATCCGTAAGCCTGTTGTTGCAAGAGTGTGTAAATGATAGAAGTTTGTTTCAGTCAAATGTTCCACTCCACTTAACAGCGTCGCATGCAGAAGTTCTTGTGTCACCCATTCCTCTCTCACAAACAACCGTGAAGGACAAACGCATGACAAATTCTAAGAATGACTGTGAGGAGACTCTAGGGATTAACCTGCTGTCTGGGATAAAGGGGTGTCTGTATAAGCAAGGTGTCTGCATTTGTCAGATTTGACAGTACACTCTACAATGGTGATTTGTACAGCTGTTGATAGAATGATTAGGATCACTGGTAATAAGGGAAGGACTTCAAGTCATTCTGTTCTACCTGTAATCATAATGGTACACGTGAATACCACTTTGTTTTCTCACTGCAGATAATAGACCAAAAAAGCTCAAAATATTAAAATCCGCTTGCTTACAGAGGGCTTACTGATCACCAATATTTGTTAGAATGATTTGGACTAAAACAATAACCTTTTTCTTAAAAAGGAACAAGTCATTTTAATTTGTGATTTCATTCCTGGACTTACAAGAACAATCAACACTGCACTTTCCTCAAGTGGAAATTATTTTGTTCTAGATTTCGCCCGGGAATGTGGAACTTGCATATTAAATGCAATTTCCGCTCGTCCGATCTACTACAAAGTAAAGCAACCATTTCAATTCAAGTCCTTCTCACCTGCTCTGTCTTCCTCAATAGCTTTTTGACAACAGGTTTTTCAAAATATCCTTTAGAATGCTTGTCTTTTTGGGCATTGTATGGTGGAATGGCTGTCGCCATTTTCGGGTTCGCGCGGCCCGAATCATCAGACAGTGTGCTCACAGCAATCGAATCAAGCACAAATCCCTTTTCACACTTGGTTTTTTCTTCTTGTGTTAGACACGGTGGCCCATATTTCGCGAATCGAGCTAGCTTATATGACTGTTGTTGAGCCATTTTGTTTGTTTTCAGCGAGATCGTGATTCGTTTCTTTCTGCAAGGTAACCAAGATCAAGGTTATGGTTGCCAAGTGCATCACGTGACTCAAAATGGAGTAACGAAGAAAAATGAAAGGAGGAAATGAAAATAAGAATGCATGCAAAAACAAAAATTGAGAGCAATCTATAGTGTGAAAAGCTGAGAAAATTATTGTTCGAAAAAGGCAAAATGGACAATTACCCCAAGTCCTCTGTTTCCTCGCCTTCATCCAAGTCCTCTGCTTTTTTATCTTCCAAGGAAACGTCGATCACATCGGAATTCTGGGTATCAATTTCTCCTAACATTCTGTCATATGACCGAAAAGACAATATTTATCTGCCCATAGTAAATTTAAAGTGAAAACGTTTTTGTGACATCATTACCAAATGCTATCTTAATTTAATAATTTGTCCCTAATAATCCCAATAAGAGATTAAGCGACACTGGGAATGAGTTACAGGTACGCGGTCAGGAGAACTAGGGCGAGCGAGACAGAGAGCAGCCATTTTGAACTCTCAACATGTTTTCGTTCGCAAGGGGAATTTTAAGCAATGTACGACAGTCTGGACTCGCCTTTGCGTTGTTGAGTGTGCGAACTTACAAAGTACGAAGTGCTTTAAAGCTCAAGTGTCCAGGATGTAAATTTGTGAGGAGAAAAGGTCGCTTGCGAGTCATCTGCAAGAATAAGAATACTCACAAGCAGAAACAAGGTTGATGGCTGTACTTTGGATACTTTTGGAGTCAGTTGTGATCAAGTATCATCCATGGTACAATTCTCCTTTCCCCTCAAAGTTATTTGCGTGTTTGGATTTATGACTGAATATAATGGACAATGGTGTTGTTTTGTACTAACAAACTCTTTGTTATATGATCATTGGAAGGAAAAGATTTTCTTCTGTTTGGGAGAAAGGAAACCTCATACAGTTGTAACTGTTTGTGATCTTGTGCTGGTTAATCTTCATTTCCACTACTTGCTTATGTGACAATTTTATTGCCTACCACATGTTGAGGCAGTTGAATGTGGACTATTTAAGAATGAACCAAAGAAAAATACACTTAACTTGAACATAAGGTTTTTATCCTTGTTTCAATTTTGCTTAATTTCATACAAGAGCTGAGACTTGGCTCCTAGCTGTTTTAAAAACTGCTTCCGTTGTTGAGATGCAGGGATCTTGAAATACTGAACTAAAGGAGGCATGTTACAAGATTCCTACAAGAATCTAACAATCTTATGAGACTCTACAAAAATTTTCTGGGAGATTAATAATTAATATTACTCAGCAAAGGTGTCTTGGAAATTTGCTTCAGGTTTTGTAAATGTGTAATAGCAAATGCAGAATATTTATTGAGCTATACCAATGGTATTCTTCAGCATAAGTAAAGGAGCTGAAGTTGCTGAAAGATGAAGAAAATATAACATTTTTTGAGATGAGATTATACTAGTAGCTGGGTATACAGCTGTTTCGAGAAAGGTTGTTGGAAAAAGTGCACGCGACAATCCCGAAAGGTACTGTGGGTGGTTTTGTCTGCCCTGTTCTCCAAAGAAATTTGAAAGAATGGCACGAGAGGCCACGGACATTATGTTCGTAAGTGCTAGTGGAAAGCAACAAAATTAGGTTCGACAGCTACAGTCGTTAGGAACAGTGTATTGATCATATCCCATATTACCTTTCGGGGTTGTCGCGTGCACATTTTTTCCAACAATCTTTCTCGAAACAGCTGTGTACAGTGGAACCTCCGTTAAACAGCCACTTGCTAGTACCCTGAAGGTAGCCACTTAATGGAGGTTGGCCACTCAATAGAAGTTCATCATAAATTAGAATAATCTTTAGCAGTAACATCACTTAATATTTTGAAACAATACACAGAGGAGCAGCATTGCTGGTCCGCAATCGGTCATCACCTTCTGTCTCACACTCTATTGTTCTTCATCATATTCTTGAAATAAAGCCCCGCTAAGATAGTGTACTAAGTGTTTGATGGTTCAACTCAAGGCGTTGTTTTACTCTAATCATCATACTCTTCCTTCTGATTGGCAAGTAGTTATCATCCTTTTAAAGTTCCAAGGAATTTTTTCGTGCATGGAACCTCGCTGTTCACCCTTCCTGAGTAGGGAGCGCATGAGATAATTCAGCGGGAAGATGGGGTGCCGCTTAATAGAGGTGGAAGTTCATATTCTTTTCTACAATTATTTTGGGACTTTTTTCCACTGCCCCCTTAATAGACGGTGGCGGCTTTTAAGCACTTTTAAAATAGGCGGCTGCTTAGTGGCGGTTCAACTGTATTGTAAAGTAGTGGCAGATCCAGACCCTCAGATAAGGGGGGGGGGGGGGTCATCCAGACCCTGAGATTAGTGTGGGGGATTGGGGGCTGTCTCAAAAAAAAAAATTTTTCAGCCCTTTGGACCTCAGTCTGGTCTAAAAATAAGGGGGTACCTGGGGCCCCCAGTTCCCTCCCCTGGATTTGCCACTAGTGTAAAGGGTACCCGTGCATTGAAAATAAAGCAGTGGGATTTCTAAGGTGCCCTGTACGAGAGACACTTATTATTCATTACTGTTTGAATTGTTACAAAATGGAGATACATCCTTGAGACGCTAAATGATAAATGGTTCGTATATTTCCTTTCCAGGCCAGGTCCCAAGGTCCCTTCCTACCCCCTACCCTAAACATTACCCATTTTGTCGCGCTAAATTAGTTACCAGTCTCCTTCGCCACCTGATTCAATATGGCGGACAACAACTCGTGGGTTCCGCTTGTCCAGATTTTGGAACGGCTTTTCCCAAATTTAACGCCACAAATCGTACCTGCTGCACACAACGCCAAAGCGGTAAGATAAAAGTTTTGTTACCATTCGAAAGGTGTCCAAATTGATGTTTATGAACTTGGATCTGTTTACGAAAACAGTCTAACCACGCGTCTAACTGTCGACCACTTATTTCGCTCTGGTCTGTGAGCCTAAGACTGCCCTTAAACAGCTTTTAAATCAGTTAGTTTGTGGTTCTTTAGTCTGTAGGTGCTCCGCTAAATAACTGTGATTCGTTCTGTTTATCACACATGTGGCTTTGTGCACGAGTAACGGCAATTCATCGCTGACAATTTTAGCTGCGGGAGGAATCTACCTTGTTGCATACGACTTTGAAATAGTGATACACCTATCTTTTGATTTGTACTGTTATTCAGTGACTGAGCTTCTAAACAGTTCTAAATTGGTTCCTTCTATACTTTTCAAAAAGGTTCTTCAAGCTATTCAGTCAAGTTTGAACAGCAAAGAAATTGATACACTGACACAGGTAACAGAGTAAGTAAGATTTTCGAACAACCCTATTCATTAATATGCCAACATGGTTCGACTTTATTCATATGAACTATTTGTGTGAGATAGTATGAAACTGCTGCAAACATAATAAATGTACGAGGTTGTAAGGAAATTGTATTGATAACAGTAGACTACAGAACAGTCCTTATTTTTGTGTAGTCTAGTACGCACGAACAGTCACACGTGTGGCTGAAATCAGAGAGCAAGACTGGGAGAGACGCTCTTACTTCTCATGCCTCAAATACTTATGGGCATGTAACGCTTTGCCAACGTGATAGTCTGACTCTACACTAGCGCATTGCACCGTGAAAAAGCAATTTTCAGAAAAAAACCCGCTGTTTTGCAGTCTACTGTAACATTGACTGAGCAAATAAGTACAAGGGTGATGTCAACCTCTCTTGTAATCCTCCCAGATCCCAATATTAACTATTCCCTCTACTCGACACCCTACCCATGGAAAACACAAATCTATGGTCATTTTTGCATTGTTGCACTTTACTTTCTTTTCTAACATCCACTTGTTTACTTCAAAGTTGTCGTGAGTGATTTTTCTCATCCTGCCGAACAGAAAAGCAAATAGGGGTGAAGTACTGGTGAAAGAACTCAAAATTTATCATGCGACAAGCACCTACAATTGCTGAGAAAATTGTTGAGACATTGTATTCAAATAGGGTAACATCAGAGAACAAAAGAATCTACACCCCACCCCTGTCCCCTCCATTCAAAGTTGGAGTGTTTGTTGTTTTCTAAAGGTAGCTCGAACAGTGGCACAACATTTTATGGAGGGGATGGAGGGCGGGGAGCTATTTTTTCCCCTCTTGAAGTCAGGAAAACGTCAAAAAGCTCCTTTAGGACGAAGTGTCTCAACTCATTTTGTCAGCAATTGTAACTATAGCTGATTGCACTAATAACAGTTTCACAGTTGGTGGCATGAGCAAAGCCATTAGAAGTGTTTGAGTATTTGTTTTGTAACATTAATTTAGTTGATAAAAAAATTTATTTGTTATTTCTATCAGATTCATTGTAAGTGGTGTGGACGAGTAGTTTGCTATGACAGTAACCCACTTGAGAAATCAAAAGTAAGTTTTTCACAATAGAATAGACGCTTAGTAGAGGTTTCCTTATATATAATTTCTTTTTACCATTATCATTACTCTGTCTTGAAGTCCAACCCCTTACCCTGTTATATACCATTTTTGATGGAAAAGGAACCTGTTTTGTATTTGTTACAGGTCCAAAAAAAAAATTCAGGTACATTTTTTCAAGCTACAATCGGCAACAAAATTGTTGAGACATTGTACTAAATAGGGTAATTTCGGAGAACAAAAGAATCTGCACCCGTTCCCCTGTCCCCTCCATTCAAAGTTGGGCTGTTTGTTGTTTTCTACAGGTAGCTAGAACAAGGGCACAACATTGCACGGAGGGGATGGGGGAGGAAAGCTATATTTCCCCCTTTTGAAGTTAATAAAACGTAAAAAAGCCCAGTTTTGGGCGAAGTGTCTCAACTCATTTTGTCGCCGATTGTAGGCTGATTCTCATTTCCCTTTGTCTGCTAGCCCTTATTTATGGATAATTAGGGCTAGTAGACAAAGGAATTTGTGAATCATCGTAGGTTAAAAAATTTTAACCTGGATTTAATTTTGACCTGTAACATATACCTTCTATTGACAAATGGTACCCCTTTCACATACCTAGTTAAGAACTGTTTATCCCTTTTAACTGCTGTAAAGGCAATTTCTTTAAAGGGAACCTCCACTTCAACAAAAAGATAACTTTAAATCACAGGAAATAACTGTTACAGTCAAGTCAATCTAAAATATTTTTCAAGAAAGCGTTTGTATCCGAAAGAAATAACTTTTAGATTCGCCTTTTTTTGTTTTCAAATTTTGCGGACGTCGCCATCTTGAATAATTATGACGTGTAATGGTTGCCCTATTGTTATTAAACAAAAGCTCTTTGTGTCAGAACAATGGAGCAACCGTAACACGTCACAATTATTCAAGATGGCGGCACCCGCGAAATTTGAAAGTGAAAATAAGCGATTTTAAAATTGACTTTTCCTGATATAAACACTTTTTTTAAGACAAATTTCGAACAAATTTGTTTATCAACATAATTTTATTCGATTTAAACTTATTCTGTAGTAAGAGTGGAGGTTCCCTTTAAAATATGAATGAATCACAAAAGCAGAACATTTTCTTGACCTTTTCATGACCATAAAATGAATCTGTTAGCCCATTTGGGCCTTTGTACCAACCAAAATGACAGATTTCCCGACCCTTTCATATACTTTGATCAACAAGTAAAATCCCTACCCTTTCATATACCTAAACCCTTAAGAAGGTTCCCATTTCAGACAGCTTCCCCGTATAGGCCATCATAGGAAGTTTTCTCCCCCTGGGAATGGAGGCTGATCTGTCATTCTTGCACACGTGCATGTTGGATATGAGTTGGCTATAATCATCTCATATCCAACAAGCGCAAGTTTTATTAAAAACACTCACAAAGTATCGAAAATTCTTCCCGCCTTTTTTTGAAAAAACAAACAATTTTCAGCTTGTTGTTAACTTCGAGCAGACGCATACAGTTACCATATTTGGGGAGCATGGTATAATGACTTTTATTTTAAAAAAACTGAATCATTGGATAATGCAATTCTAGCATTTTGATTTACTTAGCCGTTATGGTATATGAGCTATTATACCATGCTCTCCATATATGGTCGGTGTACGCGTCAGTTTAAAATTGGAAGCTAGCTGAGATTTTTTTTTCGCGAAGGATAGAACGGCGCCCGAAGGAAGTCGTTTTAATTCATTTCTTAGAATACTAGAAATGCAATTTCATTGAAAGAAAAAAGACAAAAACAAACAAGAAAGCCAAAAGAGCTTGTTTGAAAGTTTGTCGAAAAACACATGAAAACACATGGAACTAAAGTACCTTGACCAGCTACGAAAGAAGACAAGTGTTGTTTCTTCGTGATCGCGAAGCCATTCGCCAATCGGGTCACTCGCCGATAGATAACTGCGGCTTGTTTATCCGACATCAAGAATATACATCACAAGTAACCAGCTACAAATACAGGCTATGAAGCCATTCACTAGAGCAATCGAGGCGGCAGTATAGCTTCTTTTCTCGTTCAGCAAAACCAGCTTGTGGCTTCAAACAACTTCATAACAAGTGATGGAGGTAATAGTTTTTCTCCGTTGTTCTTGCTTTTATAACTGCACCGAAAATCCAAATTCACAGTAATTTCGACGGTTGTCACTTAAAAATTCTTTTCCTTCACATTATCTGCCAGGTTTTTTCAGCTGTTCTGCTGTGTAAAATCCTAGAATCCCGATGAGTTTTTAAAAAACTAATGTTCATCGCTACAATGTTTTGATTTTTCATTCATGCAGTCCAGATTTGATAGATGTGTGACATGTGAATAGTGGAAGTCCCTTGTCTTTTCCGGTTTGTTGTAGTCGGGGAGATTCAACGAGATTTTGTGAGCATTTTTAATAAAACAATTATTCCACTCACGCTTGTTGGATATGAGATGATTATAGCCAACTTGGCGCTACGCGCCTCGTTGGCTTTCTATCATCTCATATCCAATGCGCCCTCGTGGAATAATTGTTAAATATACTATTATGGCTAAGCCAATCAGAGCTCCAGAATTGCATTATCCAATGATTCAGTTTTTAATAAGATGTAATAGAGACAAGTAAACTCATATTGTATTTGTGTCAATCAGGTTGCCATAGAAAGGATTTTAGCATGGGATCTTGACTGGTCAAAAAAGGTGCTGAAGATCAAGGGAGTACAGGTCAGCTTGATGATAAACATAGATAATAATTACAGTCAAAGCTCTCCTATAGGTGACCGCCTTGGAGATTCAAAAAAGTGGTCATAACTAGAGCTGCTTGCTGACAAAAATGAGCTCTTGTAAGTGACCACATGGTGAAACAATAGAGGGTGGTTCTTTCAAAGGGATTCAGAAACTTATTAAAAATTCATCACAAAAAAAACAAAGAAATGAATGTTTAATGAGTGTCTTTACATCTGAACTTTATTGAACTTTTCCAAATACAATACTGCACTGTACAACATCTTTACCAAGGAACCATTAGGGCAGTGTGCAGTTTCATTAAACTATTGATTTATTTGAATGTGACTCTGAGTGCTCGCTTATAAGGGCTTAAAAAATAAAGGAAAAGTCCATTTGGTTATTTCCAAAAGTCGTCATGGTTGCTTACGAGAGGAGTCCCTTACCAGAGCTTTTGATGACAACCAGGTGTCTTACAACCAGAGGTCTTCCAACCAGGACTCCTACAACCAGGACTCTTACGACCAGGGGTCTTACAACCAGGACTCTAACAACCAGGGGTCTTACAACCAGGACTCTTACAACCAGAGGTCTTACAGCCAGAAGTCTTACAACTAGGGGTCTTCCAACCAGGGGTCTTACAACAAGGACTCTTACACTCAGGGGTCTTACAACTAGGGGTCTTGCAACCAGGACTCTTACAACCAGGACTCTTACAACCAGGGGCCTTACAACCAGGGGTCGTACAACCAGGGGTCTTACAACCAGGACTCTTACAACCAGGGGTCTTACAACCAGGGGTCTTACAACCAGGACTCTTACAACCAGGAGTCTTACAACTAGGACTGTTACAACCAGGGGTCTTACAACCAGGACTCTTACAACCAGGGGTCTTACAACCAGGACTCTTACAGCCAGGGGTCTTACAACCAGGACTCTTACAACCAGGGGTCTTACAACCAGGGGTCTTACAAGCAGGACTCTTACAACTAGGACTCTTACAACCAGGGATGTTACAACCAGGGGTCTTAAAACCAGGACTCTTACAGCCAGGACTCTTACTATCACAACTCTCACAACCAGGGGTCTTACAACCAGGGCGCTTACAACCAGGGGTCTTACAACAAGGACTCTTACAACCAGGACTCTTACAACCAGGGGTCTTACAAGAAGGACTCTTACAACCAGGACACTAATAACCAGGACTCTTACAACCAGGGGTCTTACAACCAGGACTCTTACAATCAGGACTCTTACAACCAGGACTCTTACAACCAGGGGTCTTACAACTAGGGGTCTTACATCTAGGGGTCTGACAACCAGGACTCCTACAACCAGGGGTCTTACAACCAGGACTCTTACAACCAGGGGTCTTACAACCAGGGGTCTTACAAGCAGGACTCTTACAACCAGGAGTCTTACAATCAGGACTCTTACAACCAGGAGTGTTACAACTAGGGGTCTTACAACCAGGGGTCTTACAACCAGGACTATTACAACCAGAACTGTTACAACCAGGGCGCTTACAACCAGGGGTCTTACAACAAGGACTCTTTCAACCAGGGGTCTTACAAGAAGGACTCTTACAACCAGGACACTAATAACCAGGACTCTTACAACCAGGGGTCTTACAACCAGGACTCTTACAACCAGGACTCTTACAACCAGGGGTCTTACAACTAGGGGTCTTACATCTAGGGGTCTTACAACCAGGACTCTTACAACCAGGGGTCTTAAAACTTGGGGTCTTATAACCAGGCCTATTACAACCACGGGTCTTACAACCAGGACTCTTACAACCAGGGGTCTTACAATCAGGACTCTTACAACCAGGAGTGTTACAACCAGGGGTCTTACAACCAGGGGTCTTACAACCAGGACTGTTACAACCAGGACTGTTACAACCAGGGGTCTTACAACGAGGACTCTTACAACCAGGGGTCTTACAACCAGGACTCTTACAACCAGGGGTCTTACAACCAGGACTCTTACAACCAGGGGTCTTACCAGCAGGAGTCTTACAACCAGGGGTCTTACAACAAGGACTCTTACAACCAAGGGTCTTACAACTAGGGGTCTTACAACCAGGACTCTTACAACCAGGGGTCTTACAACTAGGGGTCTTACAACCAGGACTCTTACAACCATGACTCTTACAACCAGGGGTCTTACAACCAGGGGTCTTACAACCAGGACTCTTACAACCAGGGGTCTTACAACCAGGACTCTTAGAACCAGGGGTCTTACAATCAGGACTCTTACAACCAGGGGTCTTACAACCAGGACTCTTACAAGCAGGACTCTTACAAGCAGGACTCTTACAACCAAGGGTCTTACAACCAGGACTCTTATAACCGGGACTCTCACAAGAAGGACTCTTACAACCAGGACTCTTACAAGCAGGGGTCTTACAACCAGGACTCTTACAACCACGGGTCTTACAACCAGGGGTCTTACAACCAGGGCTCTTACAACCAGGGGTCTTACAACCAGGACTCTTACAACCAGGGGTCTTACAACCAGGGGTCTTGCAACAAGGACTCTTACAACTAGGACTCTTACAACCAGGGGTCTTACAAGAAGGACTCTTACAACCAGGACAGTAATAACCAGGACTCTTACAACCAGGGGTCTTACAACCAGGGGTCTTACATCTATGAGTCTTACAACCAGGAGTCTTACAAACAGGGGTCTTACAACTAGGGGTCTTATAACCAGGCCTCTTACAACCAGGGGTCTTACAATCAGGACTCTTACAATCAGGACTGTTGCAACCAGGACTCTTACAACCAGGGGTCTTACAACAAGGACTCTTACAACCATGGGTCTTACAACCAGGGGTCTTACCACCAGGGGTCTTACCACCAGGGGTGTTACAATCAGGACTCTTAAAAGCAGGGGTGTTAGAACCAGGGGTCTTACAACCAGAACTCTGACATCCAGGGGTCTTACAACTGTTACTCTTACGACCATGGGTCTTACAGTCAGAGCTTTTACAACCAGCACTGTTATAAGCAGGGGTCTTACAACCACTGGTCTTTAAATGAGGACTTTTACAATCAGGACTCTTACAACCAGGACTCTTACTACCAGGGGACTTAGAACCGGGGTTCTTATAACCAGGGGACTTACAAGCAGGACTCTTACAGCTTGCGATCTTACAATCAGGATTCATACAACCAGGGGTCTTTCAATTGAGGTTCTTACAAGCAGGACTCTTACAACCAGGGATCTTACAACCAAGGGTCTTTCAACCACGACTCTTACAAGTGGCGGTCTTACAACCAGGACTGTTACAACCAGGGGTCTTACAACAAGGGGTCTTAGAACCTGGGGTCTTACAACTAGGTCTCTAACAACCAGGGTCCTTACAAGCGGTCGCAATAATGGCTTTGAGTGTATTGTTTATGTAATATTCATTCTATTGTTATGGGTTCAGCTAATGTGGGTGGTAGAGGTTTGAATTGCGCTCATTAGTGTTGATTAGCATACGAAGTTCTGAAGTGCTGGTCAACAAGTTTGTCTTGGCAATTTGTGACTCGCTTCTCCCCAATTCCGTTGCCCCTAAAGAGAAAAGTTGCTTCTTGCACCCAGGTTAGATGCCAGTTTACAGCCGACCAGAATTTTGTTAATTTTTTTATTATGCAGATTTGCTGTCAAGAATGCCACTTGTTGTTGGATCTTAAGAAACTTCTTAATTTTCTTGAGACGTTAGATGGCTCTACTGACATCACCAAGGTAATTAACAGGCATTAAACAACTGACTATTCTTCTTTTGGATCAAAATCCCCTTTTCCTTTTACGCGTACTTGTTTACAGTCTTTGTGCCTAGAATATAATTATTTGTTTAGTCTCCTGTTTACTTCACCGAAGATGGATTAAATTTTCTACTTAATCTGCCAATCAACCTGACTGATCAGTGGAAGTAAAAATGTAAAGTGTGTTATTTTTTTTACTTCAGAGGTTTTATATTATTGTAAAGTGCAGTGAGTAATCCCCCTTGCACAGTGGAACCTCAATTTAATATGGTGCCGAGGGACTGGGGAAATATATATCGAGGTTTCGCTATTTTGAACACCCCGATTTAATGAATTTTCAAAAAAACAACCAAAATGGTCGTTATCTCTAGGTATAGTTAATATATAATTTACAACACCCAGCATTCCCGGATATCTGAACAATTACTGTAATAACATTTGTTCTTTAACGCCTATGTCTCAAAAGCGAGCTGGAAATAGCTATGGCACTAGAAACTCAAGAACATAAATTTCATCCGTGTTGTTCTGTTTGGCATTCATTTTTTATCACATGTTGACATTTATTTGTTACATTAATCAATCAATCATTTATTTTAACACGTTACGTCGAGGAGCTAAAAAACTCATTCTATAATAATTACAGCTATATAATTCATAATATTATTCTATTTTAAAAACAACGCAATAAATATTTAAAACCTTACGATAGCGCATCTGGATTGTGTTCGTTATAATGAGGATTTCGTTTAATCGAGGCTCTGTTCCACACGTTTTACTGTCATTTTGGTCGGGCTGAAGAAAGTCGTTCGTTATACCGAGGACTTTGTTACATAGACGTTCGTTAAATCGAGGTTCCACTGTACTTGGACTGGTACTCAACCCAAAACTCTCACTGATGGGAGGTCATACTTGACTGGAGTCATTTTGGTACCTTTGATAGGTGGTCCCTCAGAGGAAGGGGTCACATAACTACATGCTATTTTTTTATTAGTAAAATCCAACTAGTGATCTATTACCAATGCTGCGTTTTGATTGGTTGAGCTACTACTAGGCTATATGTTTTAGCCCCCTAGTAGTGAAAATCGCGGGCTTTTTGGCGGCAAAAAAGGGCTGAAGACTAGCTTTAACTAGCTAAATTTTTTTATTCTCGATATATTTGACCAACTACTTAGATTTTACTAAAACAATTATTATTTTCGCCCTCATGGCCTCTGAGTCAGAGCCCATTCTGACTCAAGGAATAATTGTTATAAAGATAGATTTAGAAAGTACTGAGGTATTCTCGAGCCTCATTCCTGAATGTAAATGCTTGTTACCCATTGGAATGAAATTTTTACTAACAAAGAAAATTATTTTCACATACTGCTATGAATGTCTCTCTCTTACACCAATTTGCAGTTGTGACTTGGTGTAATAACAGGAATCGATCATACATGCAAAACGTTATTGGTCTTGGCTACACATACCAGATGAAATTAATACGATGACATACAGAGTGGATGCGAAAATTTTATCATACTTGTAAACTGAAACAGACAGTAGAGATCTGTATCAAAAGTTAATGAGAACTAACTGAAGAGGTGTTTCTGACAGTAGTGACTAAATGATTTGTATAAGGGTTTGCAGAGGTAAATATGTGACTCAAATACAATCTTTTTATTGGTCATACTTTGAATGAATAGTGAATGAAAAGATCTTATTCACGATACCCGCTACGCTTTTATCACTTGTTTACCTCCTCAGAAACCATGTGATATCACTTTCGTGGAAAATTGACAGAAAACATGTACTGCATACAGCTTAGCATAACTTTTTGTTCCTTTCTTTCTACTTATAGCTTTATTCTCTTGCCTCACACTTCTGTCAAATAAATGGACACACTTCACAATCAGGAGAAGCTGACGTCAAGTTACTTCAACAAGCTGTTTCTATCACCCACTCTCTTCATGTGCTAACAAAGTAGGTGTTGTTGTCTCTCTAAAGCCAGAGCCATGGTTAAACAGTGGCTCAAAATGCACCTATAGTTACTGTATCCCTCTCTAATCAGCCTTGCCCTCCCCTTTTAGGAGAAGAAGATTATTATCCCTCTCCCCTCCCTTGTAACCTGTGGTCTTACAGCTGTACAATCAAACTAACGCACGGAAGGGTGTATTGATAAGATTGGTTGGTAATGACACTGTTATGTGCCCTGCCCAAAGCGCTAAAGTAGTCAGTCGTTCCTGACATCCAAAACAGGAATCAGGGTTCTTTGTTATCCTTAATTTTCTGACAGTGCTTCATTTTGCCTAAGTAAACATGCCTAACCCCCCCCCCCCCCACCCCCATCCAACTGTGCTCAAACAGAGCAGGTATGTCATTGAAATCTTTGAGAGGAAAATAATCCCTGAAAAATGTTTTTGATCCCAAAGAATGGAAAGAGATGATAATAAATGTTTAACCACCACACCAGTAGGAACTCTGTACTGCTCAGATAATAAAATTATATTTTTTTAAATTCTCATCGGCGCTTCTACGTTGAACTTCTCAAGTCTTTCTAATTTTTAAGTAACCAAAGAACTATTAAAAATGGAACGAAACGAAATTTGTGGAACAGATGAACCAGGTTTTCTGTTTTATAAAATGTATTATATGTGATGTTATTAGTGATATCGGTAAGTGTGTTAACTCGATCAAACACATGAGGGCCTCGTGTAAAAAAAACTTCGATTATTTGCGATGTTATTAGAGATGTTGTGGGCCACGTGCATCAACTCTATCAAACACGGGAGAGACTTAGGGCCTGAGCGTCAGGGCGATATAGTGCTCTTGTTTGGGCCAATTGTAAGGTGGGTATTTTTTTGTTCATTTCATTACGCTCTATGTATAGTATTCCTTCTTACCACTGGTGTACAATGCTCTTTTCTTCACTTTAATCCTCACAGAATTGTTCCTGACATAACAGTCCAGGGAGTCAGTGGGGAAAACGTTACTTTGGAATCAGTAGATGAAGTGGTTGAAAGTGTATGTGGACAGCTTCCTGGCTCTGTACAAAAATATACGCCTAAGGTTAAAAGAAAGAAAAAGAAAGAAAAAAGCTTTACAGAGGATACAGAGCTCACTCCAGACTCGTCTACTTTGTCAGTAAAAAAATTCAAAAGCACATCAAAGAAGAAGAAAAAGAAACAGACTTTTGATTCTCTGACGAACGGACAGAGTAATGGCGACCAGGAAGAAGCTGAGGTAAGTTGTGAAGTAAGATTTTCATCTCCGGCGTTACCTAGGCAGTTCATTATGTTATGAAAGTGATAGTTCCCCGTTGTCGATCGGGGCCGGTGATTTTCTCCTTGCTTTCGATTAATCTTGATGGCCTTATTTTATTCCGTGGGTGTATACGGGTTGTATATTCGGTCACAACCCCCCCACTCATCCAATTTTGTAAACTGATTAGTGGTCCACGAGGTTGGTGTCGAAACACTCCTTGCTAATACGTGACTCTACCTCCTACATTTAAGAATACTGACCATCAGTAGCAAGTCTTTACAAGTCATTTGATTGCTCAAAGCAATGGCTCACTATACATGTAGCATTGTATCCGCTGCGAATAGTATTTATGTTGTGAATGAGGGGGCAAGGGATGGCGAGTGGTGAGAACACTCGCCTCCCACCAATGTGGTGCGGTTTCATGTCGACCCGACGCCATGTGTGGGTTGAGTTTGTTATTGGTTCTCTCCATTGCTCCATGAGGCTTTTTCCGGGCTCTTCCGGGTTTCCCCTCTCCTTAAAACTACGGTAAAATCTTCGAGTACTATGAGTCGCGACCAGCTTTTAATTTCACCCTGAGCACATTCATACGACTTTTCTTGTAGGAGCCGACAAGAAAACGTCTTATTTTATCAGAGAAGAGGAAAAAAAGAGCTGATGGAAAAACGCGTGTACACGGGAAAAAGAGGCGGTCCCTACCTGCCATGAAACTTGATTGACAAGTTTTGGTGGCATGAAGTCGTTAGTTAAGAGAGGAAGATGAAATAATTTTGGTAACAGAAAACACGAGAAGAAGTCACACAGACTTCTTACAAAGCTCTTATTTTTTTCTTAAATTCCTCGCCAGTCCACCAAAAATGAAATCCTGTATTGTGATCTATGCCCTTAACGGCTGCAAGGGATTAGAAAATGGAGCGTGTTAAACCAGCTACGAGAAGATGATAGGGAGGAGTTTAGGTAGAAGTGAACCAATGATGACAATTAACGTACTCGTCTCGACTCCCTGCTGTAGAAGAGTCCACCAGTCTAATCAATACTTCCTTACACGCTGTTGTTCCTTTGAATGGTAAATGTTGAACACGAGAGTTTGTCTTTTCGTAAACGGCGATCAAGTTATTACCCAGAGAAATGATTGGAAAGGAGCTAGATCCGTAGCCTTTTTCTCTGCGCGTTATTTTTCCGATTGGTTGCGAAATGCCCCAAACGAATGTTCGTGAGAACTGTTCTGTTTACGTCTTTCATCCGGCAAAGTTTACACCAAAAGATATTTTTCCGGAACGTACATGTTTCCCGATCGATTATTTAGGGTATTTGGAATCGCAGGCCTGTGCACACATAAATAATCCGAGAACTTACATTCGGATACATAGTATTTACTTTTAAAGATTGCTAAATCAAAATCTCAGGACATCCAGCCAGACCGAGACGTTTCTATTTCGGATTCACGCATCTGCGTGTAAACGGCCAAATGAGTCTCGTATCAGAATGTTCCGGGTTTGTCATGAATCCGGATGAATACCGTCTAGTGTAAACCTAGCCTTAATAAATCGTATAACACCCATATGCTTTGCAGGGAGCTCTTTTCAGTTCTAGCTAGAAACTTACATTTCAAAAATGACAACTGTTCTAGCAATAAATGTTCAGTTTATTTGAAAAAAGAAAACACGAAGAGAATGCGCAAAAAGCTTGGTGACAAAAAAACCCTTTCTTGAATACACAACCTAATCGCTACTGTGGTACAAAAGAGCAGAGTCTCGGGGACTTTCGCCGTACTTATTGAAATCCTATGTCTCCTAAAGGAGTCGTACTGTTCATAGTATTAAAGCTTTACAGCAGCCAACTTTGGGGACTAAATTAACATTGTAACTAAAGTTTCACAAAAAAGCGGTTTTCTTAGGTGTGCATCCAACTTAAATGTGCAGTTAATTTGGTTTTCGACAGTACGCTACTATGTGAATGGCTGAAATATTCCCTGCCACTCTCTTAACCAATCAGCGGTAAACAAACTGGCGTGCGCGCCAGCATTTTCCCGCCCTCGGACTGGACATGTTGCAGGTTCTGGCAATGAAATTGGCAATGAACCAACTGAATTGCCTGTCAAGTGTGATTGGCCAGTGTAACTTTGATGTGCCATAGTCAGTCTGATTGAAAAGATCTCGTTGCAGTATAGCAACAAGCTAAAGCCAAGTACAGAATATTTCAAAACTCCACTAAACTGACATTAAACCTACTATTTTTCTCGAGCAAACTAAAAATTACTTTTAGCTTCAATGACGGCCAACTGACATTTAAGGAAGAGTCATCGAGAAACTGCCCTTAAAACAGTCCATTTTTCTTCAGTGGTACACATACTTGAAGGAAGATTACCTCTTTCGAATTTTCTATAAACAATTACAAAAAACCCCGAATTTAAGCTAACCTCTACCATTGATGGAAGACGTTCAATTTTAAGTTGAAATTGCTTTGAAGAAGGGCCATTTCCTAGTTCCAATAACTCTCACTTTCAAAACGAGGCTTAGTTCAAAACTGTTCTTGTGAAAATGAGTTTAATTTGCATGAGACAAAAAACTCATTTCCGTATCAAGAGGGGAAGCAACGGGAGGGGGCAGGGGGTGTCGGGGTTCTCGTCACGAGTTCACTAAGAACAATTTTGCGTTTCACGAGTCACTAAACAAATAGTGTATTTGATCTCTGTCAAGTGTTTTGGTGATCTCTGCGTGACTATAAATTCCCTAGTGTAGCCACCTGTAGGTAGGTATGAGCGCACTGAAGTGAGAAGTTACATCAAAAGACTCAAAAGTCAAATTAAATCGAGCCGCCAGATGCTCGTGTGGCTGAATTATTGATTTAATTTCTTCAATTTATCTTCGAAGTACGTGTTCAGTAAAGAGGTTTTTGGCAGTCCACGTTTCACGGAGTGCATTTCAAACACGATTCACAAAACAGTTTTTTAGTACATCACGATTCACGGACACCAAAAATGGTCGATCACGGCTTCACGAAACTAAGCTTGCCTCCCCTCTATCATTGGCTTCGGACCTACCCTCGCTTTGAAACAGAGGCTTAGGGAAACTCGGTAATGACCAATTGTTATCTCTGTCTGACAAAGAAAAGGTGAAGTTAACAATGAAGGAACTTTTTTAATTGACTAGTAAAGGGTCGTAATTGTATGGACTATGAACGGTTTTAATCGCCTTTCGACCAAGATACACAACCCCTATCAACGCCAGGATGGAGGCCACGGTCATTGCCACAAGAAGAACATTGGTTGCGCTTGGAGCTGCCCCTGACCCTGAAAGAAAGACACACAAAATTGTTAATCTGAAATACTGATTAGTTTAGGCCGGTTCTGCGCACTTCCTTTTAAAATCGCCCCATGTAATGGAATTCTGGATTCTACGAAGTGGATTCCAGATTCCAGGTACTGGATTCCAGTTTTTGTCAGTGGAACCTGGACTCCTTAGTGCGATTTCTTGAGCTGTATTCCAGATTCCAAAGCCCAGTATTCCGGATTTTGCCAGATTTTGAAATCCGGATCAATTTCTTGAGGTGATTTAAAAACTTGAATTGATAGCCCACGTTTGATATATTAAAATTCTAACATGACTTCGAGGCTTTAGGGTGAAAATTGCAAATTTTTCAAGACTCCATATTCTCACAATTCCCAAAAGAGACTTGAGCACGAAGAAAATCAAACCAAATTAGAAAAATGACCAGAAAGCCTCGGAGTCATGTTAGAATTTTAATATATCGAACGTGGGCTATTCATCATGTATCTTATGGTTTCTTTCATTGGACGTAATGTACCCTTTATTCGTTCCAAAGGGTCTTTCTCCCACGCCTTCGGGTTTTATTCGTGATCGGTCGGAGACCGACGTTTTTGATAAATTTTCTTTCAAAAGATGTTTAGATCTCTGCAAGCTAGTAAGGAGGCGTTTATTATGAATCTGTGTTTTACCATTTACAAGTAATTTACACGTTAGTGTTCAGCATCGTAGCGAGAAATTGGCCGAAACAAAGAATATTGAGTATCACATTTCCTTCTTCAAACCCCAACACTTACGATTTCCTCTTTTAGCATCCTGGCGGATACTCTTCCCTTTACCGGCATCAAACACCTTTCGGGAATTTCCTGGTTTTTTTCCTCGCTTGAGATGTTTGCTTGTCTTAGCCTCGAAAATGAACGGTCCTTTGCTCACATCCGCTGACCCTAGCACACCTTTCTTTCGGGATAAGCCTGCGAATCGTCTCATGATATGGTGCGTTGCTGACTTAATGCTCTTCTTAGCGTTGTCATGGAGATTTATTTTACTGGGCGAAGACTTGTGTAACGGTGCCTTCCCGCGCTTAGGTTTTGATTCCACCACAGGCTTAGCAATAGTCTTCTTTGCAGCAGCGTGAAGCTTTATTTTACTGGGCGAAGACTTGTGTAACGGTGCCTTCCCGCGCTTAGGTTTTGATTCCACCACAGGCTTAGCAATAGTCTTCTTTGCAGCAGCGTGAAGCTTTATTTTACTGGGCGAAAACTTCTGTCCTGGTACCTTCCCGCGCTTAGGTTTTGATTCAGCCACAGGCTTACCAATAGTCCTCTTTGCAGCAACGTGAAGCTTTGTACCTGTTTTCTGTTCTTGTACAGCTAATGGTTCCCCTGTGCGCTTCTCCGAGACCTTTGTCTTCTTTATGCGTTTGCCATTTGACTGTACCACAGGTTTCTTACCTTGGTCTTGTGACACAGAGCTGTTACCTTTCATGCATCCTTTTGCACAGCGGGAGTTGGGGTCGTTGGCGTCACAGACGTGAACTCGACAGTGTATAAAGACATAGTCGTGGTCACCAAGGAACTTGAATACTTCGAAACTGAATCGAATTTTGGTTGGATCAGAGGAGTTGTGGAACTGAACACTGGGATCCACTGGGCAACTGAGAAGAAAAAAGCGCAAAGCTTATGGTTATACCTTACTAGTGATAACCAAAGGTTACAGAGTGCGGGAGACAACGCTCGAAGGTCAAAACGCTTTTTCTCCAGCGCTGTGCTTTGCGTAAGTTTCACGTGACAGATGGTCAAAACACGCGTGATCAGATTACGAGTGGTAGAAGGTCCAAACGCGCGTGATTAAAGTGTGTTCTGTAAATTCCATACATTCTTAGTGGAAGCCCAAACGAATGCTGGCTACATACATGCGACGCATGCGTAAAAACAACCTGGAGATTAGGATTGCTGGCTCATCGCCCTAAATAACTTCTTAAAAATCTTTATTGTAAGGTAAACCCATCTAAATTTACTGATAACTGAGAGGATTCTTGACGCTTTGCAACTTGACCAGTAGCCCCCCAACGTGTGTGAAAAATGTAATGCTTTCACTCAAAAGGAACCTTCATCTCTCATACCAATACTTCGAGTCAACCTATACTTTGAAAAGCACCTATTTTTTTCACGCGTCGAATAATAGCCAATCACAGCGAAGCAATGAGCGTTGCATATTTCCGGCTTCAATAATGGCGGCAAACGCCCAAGATTTATTGCGACCATAACAAGTGGCTTGTTTGGTGATTACAGAAAAGGCATAACATGTATGAAACCTCCCAACATTGGTCTCTTATCCAAAATTAATTAAGCAATGTGATAGAGTTCCGTGAAGTCACTCTTAAATTTTGAGAAGGTTTATGGCACTCTTAGAATGAATGGAAAAGTAATATTGGTAACTCTCTTTACTTACCCCTCCGTGATCAAAGTGTGCCTGAATTTCATTGTGGCCTCGTGATCCTGCATAGGCGTGGAACAGCAATTAGACGCGAATATCTTGAGGTCCGTCTCACGCGTGTCCAGAGACGCCTGCACATACAGTCTCTCACGCAGATGCACGCTGACAGGAAAGTCTGCCTCCGTGTATTTGGGGGATCCCGATATGACTGCTCGACTGCCCCCCTCGCCATAAGTCTTATCTTTGAAGATGTCCAGACTGAGCGCGTAGTTTCCACGGCCCTTGACGTAGACATGAATCTTTTGAGCCACAGGTTTGAATCCAACGGCGCTGACAATTTCCAGGTCATTAAAATAACAGCTGAAGGGCACCTTGATCAAGAAAAGGACGCAAAAGTATTGTTCAGCTCGGTACGACCATGAGCAAAAGTTTTCGCCATAATTTTTCGCGCGCGAGGTTAAGGGGAATTTCGCACGAAAGATGATGACGCTAATCTTCGGAAGGTTGAAAAGCTGTTAAGAAGTACTGGAAGTCCTTAGTTTGGCGGGGTTGAATGACTCCTCAAGGATAACAGTTAATACATTATGATTTAGAAATAACACCAGATCTTACCACTTTAAGCATGTCAAAAGTGATGCGAAATATGATGGGTAGTGTGAGCCAATTTTAGATTGTGATCAGTCATGGCTCTTCTAAGTAGCGAAGAGCACATAGGTTTACTAAAGTGGAAAATAGTTCTTATAAAGACCTTTTGACTCAGTACCTTGAGGGTTGCTACCCTGCGCTCTTTTACTATCCGAAGCTTCGATGAACACCTCCGTCACTTTTGAAAATGACAAGTTCACCCAGTTATTCTTAATTAGTTTGCTATTTATCAGGTTTCTATGTTCAAGTACCTTGATCTCATTTTTTCCCACGTGGGTGATGACGTCAGAATCCTCATTGGGTGATTCCAGCACCCTATTGGTGTAGACGATGAAGTTTTTGTACACGTGAGACCGCGTTCCGCACCCTGTCACATTAGTAGACAGACTGTAGTGGGTGGCGTTGCCATTAGCTCTGCACTTGGGGTCCAGAAGACTCAAGTGCTCGTCTCCAAGGTTGTGGATAAGGTTTTTGGGAAGAACAATTTCCATGTGGTTTGGATTGCAAGTGAGCTGGACGCCATGAGCTATCGACATATAAAAACGACTATCTGTAAAAACTCACAAAGATTCAGGCCTGTCGATTTTTCTTAAGTGAGGTATTCAGAGAAGTGTCTCACCCAAATTTATCGAGCTTCGTGCACCTGAGCTTTGCCCTGAAAGCTCTTTATTACGAAACTAGAGACTAAGAAGAATAGGTAGTCAACTCCGCCCGCCCTACCTCTCCCCCGAAAAGCAACGGTAAAAGCCTGTTTTCTGCTAGAACCCGGGCCAACTTTGTCAAGTTTCATGCCATGCCTGCAACTATCACCAAATAAATATATTATGGTTAGTGTTCCCAGGTGAAATTTGGGCCCGGAAAGCTGTTTTGTGTTTGCATTCGAGATCAAAGTTTCAACAGTTTTAAAAGTGATGCAATAAAACTAGAAGCTAACGAAGCAAAATTGACTAGTTTGTGGGCTAGGAACTGTACAACAGGTTTGGATTTTAAAATTTGCCTTCAGGGCCAAAAAGTTACCGGAACTTTCGAGAAACCGGCCCCCAGGACCATTTTGTGGGTGGGTGAGGTGGGTGAGGACACTAAGTAATGACTTCCCCTCCCCTAAGCCAATATTTTGCCCTAAGTGAGAAGTAAGTGTTAATGTTGGCTTAGAGGAGGGCTAGGTGGGCAGTTTGCCAGAAACGTATAATGATCCGACTTGAGCACAGAATTGACCTAAAACAGTACTATGCTGGTGACATAACCCCTTGATGTAATACGAAATGTGGGTCATCTCCCTCTCATTACTCACCTCTACAAGTTCTCTGATCTGTTGGATCCAAGTAGAGCGGTTTAGGGCATTTACATTTGTAACTTCCCGCGGTATTCTCACAGATGTGACTACAGAAGCCATTGTTAATGTCACATTCATTTATGTCTGCAGGGTTAAGATTAAAGACAATTTAAATAAAATGAGAGAGAAAAAGAACATTTTACAGTTCCCTGCTAGAAGAGGTATTTTCGCCTCGTCGTGAGAGACCTCTGCTAGCAGGAAAATTTTACAGAAGCAGGGTTATGGGTTCCTTGCAGAAGCCATGAGTGTTTCAAACCTGCGTTTTTTTTCGGGGGGCGGGGGAGGGGGGAAGGAAAAGGTGCTAAAAAAAGTTTTGTTCAGGGAGGCTCCGCTCCAAGGTCTAACTCTTTACCCTTTTATATACCATTTTTGACAGAAAAGATACCCCTTTTGTATACCTTCTATTGACAAATGGTACCCCTTTCACATACCTTGTTTAGAACTTTTCATCCCTTTTAACTGCTGTAAATGCACTGTCTTTCAAATATGAATAAATCACAAAACCGGGAGATTTTCTCAACTTTTTCCGAGAAATAAAATGCATCTGAAGCTCCTTTTGAGTCTTAACAGACCGTAATGATAGATTTCCGTACCCTTTCATATACTTCGGTTCCTAAAATCCCTGCCCTTTCATATATATACCTGAAGCCTGAAAAAGGTACCCTTTCGGGTGGAGCCTGTCCGCATAGGGCATTATAGGGAGTACCTCACTCCCCTGGGAAAGACTCTGCAGGTTAGCGCTTACTCTCACTGCTTCCCAATAAATTTTTCAGATATTTTTTTGTCAGGTGAAGAAACATTAGAGTGCGTATTTTGCCCATCATCAAAAACAGTGTCCTCTTTGTACACATACCATCACAGGAAACTGGGAGTGCCGCATCGGTCCATGTGCCATCCATTTGACAGTGTTTGACAGCCGGTCCAACCAGTCTGAAGCCTTTATGACAATCAAAAGGACAGGCCGTCCCTACCACACTTGAGCCACGGGTACAGGAGGGTTTGCTTATAACACGGTGTCCTAGCTGAAGGGCGGGGCATTTGACCACTCCTGGAGCATTTACTGGAGATAGATAGAGACAAGGGGTGACTATTTGTTGGTTTTGAGGATGACGATCTTGGTTAGCTGTTAAAATTGCTTGATTATCTTTCGAATCTCTATTCACATTATTTGGTGACTGCGTGCTTACTTTAGTTCAGTTTAGTTTGGTTTATTCATATTTGTCAAGAAAGAAATTACATACATACAAAACAGCAGCACGCTGACAGGAAATGAAAACACTGTAAGACCCCCAATTGAATTTCAACCCCCACAATATCTAAAACTATAAGACAATATTATGCTAAAATCGGACGAAACAAAGGGTGTGCGCTATAAGAATGTGCTACAGGTGTAACTATGGCGACCGATATGAACTCAGCCTGGCCTTATAGTGAGCATGTAGAAAACTTTTTAACTGTTGAGCTCCAGTAGCATGCTTAACAGAATGAGGGAGACTATCCCAAATTCTAATAGTCCTGGGGAAGTAGGACTTAGTAAAGTAATCCTGGCTGTGAAATGTTCAGCTGCATCAAGCTTGTATACAACCTCTAGACGAAGCCCTATCGAAGTTGACAGTTTTGGGGGGGACTCGGATGCTTTCTTCCCCACCCCTCACCCACGGAGTCCGAGAACATGGCATAGTCAAACCTTTATATAAAGGCCCTGTATAAAGCGGTCACCCTGTGTATTAAGGTCACCGGGCAACTTCCCAATGAACCATTGCTCCTGTATCTCACAGATGCTGACTCAGGGCTCCCTATGGAAAAGTCGTAAATAACCCCCCTGGCATCTGAATAAAACCTCAGTTGTCGGCATTTCAGAGCAATGGATAGCAAGAACGTTGCATTTTTCTACATTCCTTGATCAGTGACAAACAATTTTTGAACTGAAGTGATATGGTTTGTCAGTACTGAGAAGTATAATATTTACTTTCCCTTTTTTCTAATGACACTTTTAATGGAATTGTTTAATGTCGCTGAATTATTTCCATCATGACTTTAAAACTAGCAGGTTTGTTTCTTAATAAAGACTACAATGTCCAACTTGGGGACAAAAGATCAATTCGGAAACAACAGAAATAAAAATCATGGCATGGATTGTTCCCAATAAAAAAATTAAGAAAAAAAAATCTTCCGGCATAGCTGAGTTACTTAGCGGAAAGTAAACCCTGCACCGGAATAACTTATCATTAGGATAGTAAAAAAGGCATATCAGGAGCCGATTGTATCGGCTCCTAGCCATATATATTTTTACTAGCGAGAAGCATTCCAAAAAGTATCTAAAAGCAAATTTTCTCGACGCCCTCTTTCCTTCACTGAATTAATGTTTCTAATAGGTACTTTTAATGAGTATTAAACTGAAAAGGTGTCTTCTTTAAAAAAAACAGTGATCGAAATTCATTCATTATTGTCAGGTTTGAAGGTGTTCGTGATCCTATCCTCGGTAGTAGAACTGAAAGTCTCTACAAAACAGAAACCTTTCCAGCGAAAAAAGGAAAGTATATATTCTGTTTCGAGAAAATCAAGGAGCAGAATTGCAGCAAAATGACAATTAGATGCCATAAACATTCCTGCCTTGCTATTTATTTTACAGTCTTAGTTTTTCCATGTCATAAGCTCCTGGTCTCGCATCAGTCCGATCGCATCAGATACTAATCTTAACGTTTCCCTGATTTAAAGAATAAATTGAGACTCAAGAGTTAGATACATTAAGGTGCAAAGATGCATGAATTTGTGATAAAATGGTCACCTTAATCATTCCGCAAAACGCGTGTTTGCGAGCCCAAAAAAGCGCCATTTCGAATCAATCATAAAAATTAAAGGTATACTTACGTTGGATTGCAGCTAATTGACCCAACAGGCAAAGGAGTAGAAGAAGACTTGAACGAAACATGTTTTTGTTTTGAGACCGGGAAAGATAAAAACTCTTTCCCACCCAACAAAACCTAAACTAAAGTCAACAAACTTTGGGACTTTAAAGGAATTTTGGTAAAGATCATTAAACTGCGAACTAGATTAACATAACAATGACCTCCCACGTTAGACCCAGATATTATACACAAAAAGCCCGGAATATTGAGGAGGTTTTCAAAGACTTTAAAATTCTGTACTGAGTACACAATTTTAAAAGAGAACTCAAACTTATGTAAACATATTAAAATACACGGCACTACAAAAATTCCTTTGAAGGTATGAAAGAAATTACTGTTCACTTGCTGCTCTTTCTTTCGTTCTCTTGTTTTTTCTGTTGTTTTCTTCGCTTATTCGGAAATTGTTGGAAATGATTTGGAAGAAATGATATGATATGTGAGATATGCGTCTGTCTAAATGCCGCCTGCATTGTTCAAAGAAACGTTTTCAGTGAATATTGTGGTATGTATGTAAGTATGTATTTAATATTGCCGCCGCAAAATCTACTAAGTGATGGCTTTAAGTTAATGGTAAATAAAGATTACCCTTGTGTAATTATTTGTCAAGGGCCCGGTGTTTTAAATGTCAACTATCAATCCGGATTCCAGTAGAACTCGACTTAAACATGCAAAGGGACCTGTATAAAAATGGATCCGGTTTATTAAACGTTGAATCCGCTTCACGGCCTTAGATCAACGCACAGGGCTCATGCATTCTCAACCTCGCTCTTAGGTTCTCTCTGGGTGGGTAGTAGGGAACCCTGGGAACGAGGTTAATGCAATCTTTCCTCGTATTAATGACGAGTTCAGCCTTTCCTTCCTTTTAATCGTGGCCTATCTCCTTCAATTTTCAGCCTATGGTATTAGCTGGGTATCTTTCTTAAATAACTATGAGTTCAGCCTTTCTTTTGTTTTAACCGTGGCCAACGCCTTTCAATTTTCAGCCTATCTTTAACTCGACTTGAGTATGCAACAGGTCCGGATTAGATCCAAATTATATAACGTTGGATCCGCTTCTCGGCTAATGCCTAACGGGCAGGGTTCATGCAATCTTTCCTCGTATTAGCTGGGTATCTTTCTTAAATAACCATGAGTTCAGCCTTTCTTTTGTTTTAACCGTGACCAACGCCTTTCAGTTTTCAGCCTGTCTTTTGACTCAAGCATAGAACGGGTCCGCATTGGATCCAAATTATATAACACTGGATACTCTTCCCAGCTAGTGCTTAACGGGCAGGGTTCATGCAATCTTGCCCGTATTACCTGGGCATCTTTTTACGTAATGCTGGTAAAGCCTCTACCAAAACCTATCGGGGTGTAATCATTCCGAAATTAAAAGTTTCTGAGTTGTAATTCTAAATGCATGTTCTTGTTATTTGATGTTTTTAAGATACCGCTTTTAAATTAAATCATAAACCAAGTGAGCATGAAACGAACTTTCAGTCATTTGATTTGTAATATGTTTGTTAAGACAAAATGCAATTCAGGCCTTATGTTGCTGAAAATAATGAAAATGACTTTATTGGGTCATTAGACGACGTCCTCTCTTGTTGGTAACCTAGTAATTTGCCTTGTTACTCGCAAATAGGAACAGAAGCAATTAACGATTATTACGCATAAAAACCTAAGCATAAAAAAATCCCAAAATAAAAGACTTCTACACATGACGTGTTTTTTTTTTTTTTGTTCCAATGCAAAATGCAAAAAGAAAAACATTAAATTGAAACATTTAAACCACACAGGGTTTATGGTTTGAATGGAGAGGGATTATCAGTCAACAAAAAACAAAAAACCAATTGCAAAGTAATAAGGATGTACATTGTCAATGGGTTGTCATTAAAAAAAGAATGGGGTGGTTTCACTTTTCTCATACCAATTACCAAAATTACAAGTCAGGTTCACATAGTTGTCTTTCTGTCAAGGTAACATGAGTATTCCAGGAAAAAAAATTATTATTAATCAAGTGTTCCATTTGGTTGCTTATCACTGGTTGACCATCTTGTATCCTCGTCCACGCTTCACCACACGCGTGATGTGTATCACGCCCGCGAGAGCAAGTACGCTTGCCGCTGCAATAACCGCCATGAGAGCGTTTGTCACGCGTGGATTCCACCCTGGAGATAAAACATAATAACTGTCAGTGCGGGATAACAGGTAAAACCTGTCTTTTAAAACAGCATATAATTCTTTCTAGCGAAGCGAGTTAGGTTGCGGTACAATACTTCTTCCTCTTCAAAGGAGACTTTTATGAATTTGTTTGTTTTTCTGGATGTAATCCTTGTTAAACGTTGTTTCAAGCCGCATGTAACAAAATTAATCCCCTCCCTTCTGGGATATACAACCGGTTTTAAAACATTTCCCGACAATTCGTTCTGCTCAATTATGAAATCTTTCACAGCAGCCGGTCTAGCGAGCAAGAATGCGACCTGACAAACATGTGGCGGAGTTAGTCCATCCGTCCATCCGTCCGTCGGTCCGTCTGTCCGTCTGTCCATTCATTCATTCATTCATTTCATTTCATTCATCTACTCGGTGAGCTCCAATCAGCCGGCAAATCTTACCTTCTTCCTTTCTTTCTTTCTCCGCCCCATTTTCCGCCAGCCTGGACTGATCTTGTTGAGGTCCCTTCAGGTCAATAACAGGCCCATCGTAAAGGGTGTCCTCATTCAACGAGAAGGGGCCTTTAGAGATCATATAGCTCGGGTCGTTATCCCCCACCTCGCGCTTTGACCTTTGCTGCGACTGTTCCTTTAGCTTCTCCATAACACTGTACGGCGGGTTCACGTGTAATCCCGGAATGCATCCTTTGGAACAGCGGGAATTGGTATCGTTTACTCGACACACCACTACACTGCAGTGAAGATACACGAAAGGGAAATCTCCGACGAATTTGAAGGCCTCTACGCTGAAACGTTGTGTTTGCGGAGACGAGGATGCTTCCATTCTGACCGTGCTATCTGTGGGACACCTGGTGAAATGGTCAGAGAATGTCAGTCTGAAATCGTCCCCCCTCCCTTAACAGGCGGCAAGGCGAGAGAGACGCCCGTTGGGGGTGGGGTGGGGGGTAGGGGGGAAGAGGCGCAGGATATTTCAGACTAGGTCAGGTGTAAGTCAAGGTTTTCAATCTATTTGTTTCTAGCATCAAGCGTGAATGTCTTTGTGTCTTTAACGGAAAGGGAATTTTCTTGGAATTCGCATATGACAAGGACGAGGAAATACCCAGCACTATGATGCAATTAAATTCTGGGACCGGTATTGTAAACAAAGAGTGAAGGAAAATTGATTATTTAATGGATAAATAAATTTTCCAAAGATTTCATTTTATACTCTAAGAGGATGTAAACTGCCTTGACGTCATCAAGGTACGTTGCTACTGCGCATGCTTACGTATGTGACGTCAAAATTATACTCGTTATATACTTTGACATGTTTCTCAAAAGACAATCCAACAAAGGTATTCTAAAAGCACTTTTCTTCCACAAACGTCGCAGCCAAATAAATTGACCGGTCTGTCAAATTTTACGACCCCAGGGTTATGGGCTCCTGACGACCCTTGTTGCTTATTTTTTTGTTGAGTTGTTTTGAATTTTATCAAAAACAAAAGCTTTACGCACCCTTCGTGAATCAGTTCATGCCTGAACCTATGTTCTTTCTCGTGGTCAGCGGTAGGTGTGGAGCAGCAATTTGCCGCCATGACTTGCAAACTTTGATCCAAAGTAGCAATTGACACTTCATAGTAAAGCCTCTGACGGTAAGCCACTTCAACTGGGAAATCATCCCACGAGTACTTACTCTGGTAGTTCTGATCGTGATAAAAATCCATACGGACTGAAAAACGGCCGTAACTGCGAAAAATAAAATTGATTCTGATTGAGTTAAAATTTTATCGATAATGAAGGGTACTAGACTCAAGCTTTTCTGGTAGACGCCATTAGGGAGCTTCATCAAAAACGTTTTTGAGCGACGCATTCACACGTCAACCAGAAGTATGGCCCTTTCCTTTTAATATTCCTTGACGCTTCCAAATTTGTATTGCTAAGTATCTTTTTTGCTATAGAAACGAATTGACTAAAAAAATTTCACCCAAGATATCTTCTGTTCAAAGAAGGATGACTGTACACTTTGAGGATTTTCAAGATTTCTGAAATGCGTCAGCCATCTACTTCGTTGCTAAAAAAGGTGGTGAACGACAGGAGATCTTGAATTACGTTCAAACTCTTACGTCGATGATTATACATCACTTAAACATGGAGAAAAGAGATGGGAAAGAAAAATCCTTAAAGCTAAAACATAGACTGCTGGTAATAGATTGTCCGTTTTCGTTTGGGTACATTTTGCTCACTTCCGGTTTTATTCCAACAGAGACGGAAGACCCAGTTATATATACTGCGCCACTTACCCTTTCTCGTTTAGGTACAGCTGTTTTACTTCCGGTTTTATTCCAACTGAGGAAGTGATACCGTTGTTCAAGTAGTAACAACAGAACGGTATATCAAATTCGTCCTTTCCCACGCGTGTGATGATACTACCAGGTGAAGCTGTCTTCTCCACAATTCTGTTACTGTAAGCGATGAAGTTTGGCGTACTACGGCGTTTGGTGCCGCATTTGTCCAATGCAGTGTCAAAGATGTAGTGAGTAGGTGTCTCTACTACGTTACAGGTGGGGTCTAGTAGACTAAGGAAATCGCCTTGTAAGTCGCGCAGAGCTGTTTTGGGAACAGTAACTTGTATAGCATGGGTGCTACAGTTTAGAAGCAGGCCAACAGCTGAGGAATGACAAAACAGATGTATTGTTAATAACTACGAAGTGCAGATAATGAATTGGGCCCTTCACTACGCTGCTTAGGATTTGTACATGGACAGCTGGGAATTAATTTATATTTACGATGAATAATCACTTTTCTCTCCCCTGCGTGAAGAGAAGGTTTTCAAAAATACTTCAACATCGGTGCATTTAGGGGTGGGGCCACGAGGACCCACCCCCTTTAAACAATTCTCATTAAAATAAAAAGTGTCTATACAGCTGGCACGTTTCCCGGCCACCCCTCATGCATTGTTTGGATCCGCCCTTGTTGACTTCTCTCTTAGTTTTTAGGCACCTTTTGGCAACAAAGGAAGCACATCTAGGACTTACGAAGATAGATGGTCCTTAATTCACTCCTTAGACACGACAATTTCTTGTACAGTTTAATAGGGATGCAACTAATGCATAGGGGTCCTTTAGCGCCAAGATACAGATCTGAAATGTTCATTCTTTTGGTTTCAAACCTTAAGTCTAACTACTAGTCAAGTTAACAAAACCATGTTCACGTTCTTCGTTACGTATCACAAACCTCTACAGTTGCGTTGGTCATCGGAGAGAACCAAAGGGTCTGGGCATGCGCAGTGATACCCAGGTTCATCGTTAACACACTTGTGGCTACAACCGCCATTTTCGTGCATGCACTCATTAATATCTAAGGAAAAAGTATATCGTAAGATGTTTTACTGAAACATATTAGTAAAATGTTTTTAAGCCTCTAAATAAAACAGCTCATTTGAAATCTCGTGCAGAAAGGACTTTTATAACGCTCGTCAAACAATGCGATGTCCGCTGATTATCTTTATTCTGCCGCTGTGTTACAGTAATGGTTTGATCATTTCTTTGGTCTGGTGAAAAACAAACCCAACTTTCAAACCAAACTATTTTTCGAGGCCTTTGATTTTTGCAATATATTGCACCATTTCTCTCACTTTCCACCCGTTATCTACCACACTGGGTTTAACAGGACGCTTTTTGCTTTCGCTTCCCCTCCTTCTATATTCTGTCATGCGCTTTGGTTGGCTACGGTCTTATTACCTTGGCAGCTGATTGGTCCTACAGTTGGTGGTGACCAGACTCCCTGACCGCCACATTGTTGGAATGGAGGTCCATTAAGTGTGTAGTTATCCGGGCAGGACAAGTCGCACACAGTTCCTGAGGGACTTGGTGCTTGAGTACAGCTATCTTGAACTATTACATGCTTTCCAACAGAAAGAGGACTACAAGGACTGCCTACATATCAAAGAAAAACAGGTGATGTGTCTTCTTTCGCCCCATGTGGTGAGAACAGTTAACGAAGACTGTCTTGGATTCTGAATTTCACGCTGACGATTCCGGGGACTGGAACTTTTACAAGTGTACAATCCTGGCCAAAAGGATTAAGGACAATTCCCTTACCCCACCCCTTTCTTGCAAGAAATTGCAGAGTGACCGTCAATTTACGGTTGTCAATACGGCTATGTCTAGGTTCCCCCCCCCCGCCCTGAACAAAGTTAAAGTTCATACACTTTTTAAACGTTTTTGGCCTCTAACACCCAGCACTATTCAGGGGCGGATGGGGGATTACTGGAGAATGCACGGATCATGTGTAAAGGACTAAGTGTCCTAAACGTTTTGACCAGGATTGTACCTATTGTTTTCTGACTCTAAAATAACGGCTATACTTGTAAATTACACTTGTAGAAGTTTTATTAAATTGATCCCTGGATTCCTGATTCCTTATCATTAGAACTTGGATTCCAAATTCCAATCGTTAGCTGGATTTCGGATTCCTTGAGCTGAATTACAGATATCGAAGCCCAGGATTCCGGAACCCGGATTACTAGTTACCTACAGGAGATATTGAATCAGCCTTTTAAACAAGTTGAAAACTCCTTTACTCCACTTTTTTTCTCCATGTGAAACAAAGAAGCGATTTCTTTAAATTTTAACTTAATTATACTAAATAATTTTTGAGAGTGAAGATTTTTCCGCAACCGCTGCGTGGTCGACTATCAGCCACGAAGTCGCGCGAGATTGACGTAAGAAGCTGCCATGCGGCCGCCCTTAATCCGGCGAATCTATAATCCCAGTGGTTTTTTAGCGGTGAATGGAAATTCTAATATCAAGGTGTTTGGTCGGCAGGTCATGTAAACAAAATGCTTCAAAGCGTTTCGTCAATTTAGGCATTCTTTGTGCCGCAATGTAATTTAAACATGCCGCAAAACAGTCAACCTTGCCGCGAAAAATTAAACGAATTATTTTAAATCCCATTCAAGTCTCAAGATTTATTTCCTAAACGAGAAAACCATGAAGGCTTGTTATTCAGTTTTATTTATGGCAAAGAAAACTTTGTTCTTGTTGTTTTCAGTTGCGAGACTTTAACTAAAAGGTAGATGTCAAACAAAATCAAACAAAAAAATTGCTTTGTTGTTTCTGATTCTCGGTTTTATCAAGAGTGATACTCTGATTTAATAACGTCAAATTGCCATACTTTTAATAATATATATATATATTTTAAAATGCATAGGACAACATAAAAAGTTGATGGTTATCCAAACCTTGAAAAAAATTTATACTTGTTGGGGTTTCGCCCCAGTTTGGCTGTCAAGAACGTGTTTATGCATTTTTAATGCATCTGCGAGAAACCATTCTCTGTCAGATACAGGGATGCTACCCGACATTAACTTTATGTAGAGATATATCTCTTCAAAGGCTTCTTCATACTGTGAAACAATTACAGTATCTTTGGGTGTTGTTATAACACCTTTACACTATAACACGCACAGACCTTGAAATGTTTTTCTCTGAGAGAGGAGAGTTACAGCCCTGGCAAGTTCTTGCGTTTGCATTAATTTTTGATCCTGAAACTACGATGCCTTCATTTAAAACTTCTCTGTGGTTAGTTTCCATATACGTTGCTGCTTCGAGTCTTAGTCGCTCCACTATCCTCGGGCAAAACCTCCATATTTCACTGTTCATTCTATGGAATTGTCTTAGTTCACTTACCTGGCTGGCCAACATCCGGGGCGTTTACTATTGGGTCCTCTGCTGCAGAGAGAATAATCAAAGAAGCGAGGAATACTAAGCACTTCATTTTTGTCCGCAGTGGAGTATGAAGCTCCTTTCTCAAACGCTCGTTTCCCACCAAACAGCCCGTCGATATTTAAATTGTGGGCGATTTAATTCTCCTGATTATCATGACAAAGCCTCCCACACATTATCAAGAAAAACAAACCAGGCGACTGGTAATTTTCTACAAATTCCTGCAGACATTTGCTGGGTAAAGAAAGTCAAAAGTCTGCAAACAGCCTTAATCCGTGCTTGTCATCTTGATCAAACATTGCACTTGGAAGTAATGAAACATTCCTATGCATCCAAAGTATAGCTTCCAAAAACCACGCACCAATGCTGAGCATAGAATCGAAGATATTCGTTCATTCGAGTACTTTATTGATTAAGCAGGCTTTCCTATCGTTTTCTGAACTGTAATTCTCTTGGTTAACTATAGAGTCTACTCTATCTTGCTGCAACTGCGCTTTGAACCGCCCCAGGGGTGGGGGGTACATGACCACGTTTGGGCGAAGAGAGCATCTCTAGATCTTGTTTGGGACAACGAAAAAAATAAAAAACCTCTCTGTTTTTTAAAGATTGTTTAGGACATGGTCTGAGTTGCGTAAGATTTTATACGTAACGCTATTTAGTCAAAAGACAATTGGATATCCTACCCCTTGTGGGGTATGCCATCTCAGGATACCTCAATTGCATGGGCCCATACAGGGAGGGTTGCCTCTGCAGATTCGTTTCCATGACGACGTAATACTCAAAACCAGGGTGTAACCACTTTTGGTTAGCTATGACACGACGGGAACGTCAACGAGTACGGCATAAAAGCAATAGGTTTAGATTGGAAAAACATGAACTTTGCACATGCATCACGCTTTTTTGTACATTTTTTTGCCGTCACTACACGACTACGACGTGAAAATGCGTAATTTCATGTTTTGTGGAGGACGTGAACACAAGGCAACGACTTTCTTCTTATTATTCTCAACTTCAATACAGTCTTTTAGAATTCATCTCCAGAAAAAATTGCCAAGAGTTGACGAATTGAATGAGATATAATAAGCACGATGAAGTTTAGGGCAGCGCGACGTCACTTTGATAAGTTTCGAAGTGATTTTTTAAAAACTAACAAAGATATAACTCCGAAAAGTCGCAGAATTTTACGGACGTTTGTATCATGGTATTGGGCACGATTCATTATAAAATGGGGTTGACAGGCCTACACGACTCCCAGCGCGTGTTTAAAATTGCCTTTTTCAACGTGGGGCTTACATAATTCCATTAAAGTAAAGAGAGAGATTCAAGCATTCATCTAATACCTGTTTGAAAGTTTATTAGTGTATTATTTAGTGACTGCAAGTTTAGTTAAGTTTTATTTTGGTTTTTATACGCAGAAATTAAGATAGCGCCCCCTAAGTCCCCTTCAGCTCTGTCCAGTCTATTATTCCTCTTTAGTTCCTCTTGAACCAATAGAGAACGATCTCTTGTCTTGAACCCGTTACTGTTCATAACCATTTGCAAGCACGGAATACCCAGGTGGGTTCTTGCGTGACTTTTTGTATACCATCATTGCTGTACCCACCAAGCAAGCGACGCAAAACACTGACAGAGCCATCACGGGAAACGGACTGTAGCCTGGGAAGAAATACAATAATTTTAATCACTTAAGACTGAGGTTTTTAGGTCCAGTCCTTTTTAAAAGGTGTTGCATTGTCAACACGGAACATGTATTTCAGTAAAAATGTCTAACCTTATCAGGATGAAATTTCCTATTGCCTTTTAATTTGAAGTTAACGGGCCAGTTGTTATATCAAACATTTACAGTTAACTTTTGCTGTCAATATTTTGATGTCATTTCCCCGCCAAAAATCGTTTAAGCTCAAAAGTATAAGAATTGCAATTTTTGCTCGCAGCTGAATCGGAAGACATGTTAGTTCAGCACCATCCAACACGTTGGTCCACACTACCCAACATGCTTATCCATCACCTTTGAACAAGATGGTCCGCTTGAGCGTTCTTTGATCCAGTTTTCGTTTTTAATTGATCCATTAGCATGGTATAAAATCTATTAACTGTAAGCACATATTTTTATAATAATGTAGCATGTTTCATGAAACAGTGTTGCACGAGGTTAAGGTGGACAAACTGTGAATCAGCTGGATTAGACCCTAATGTTACTTACTTCTCTTTTCCAAAGCATTCGAGTTGGTGTCCTCACGTTTTTCACCTGCTAGACGAAGGGGGCCCTGGGACACCGAGTACACATCATCGGTCATGTGACCGCCCTCGGAGCGCTTCTTTCGGTCTCTTATCGGGCAGGGCTTAGCGCACTGAGAATTTGGGTCTGTTGCGTTACAAATAATCACGTGACAGTGGACAAGTACAAGTGGGTGGTCAGCAATAAACTTGAATGCTTCCAGGCGAAACCGCTGGGCACTAGGTGAAGGCGCAGCAAGGAACTTGACGGTTTCGTCAATCGGGCACCTGGAAAAAAGGGGTAAAGTTATCCATAATTGGTAATTAATGTTGTTGTTGTTGTTCATGTTGTCTGTCGTAGTAATCGGCAATGATAACCTTTCTCATTAAGGTTTTTACACTATATTTTGTTGGATTCTTCGGAACAGAGAAAATCATTTTTACAGCGATACAACGTTTTTCAGGGTTAATAAATGTTTGCAGATTCAGAATTTTCTGAACTATTTTTTTTTGGACATGCTCCAGGAATTGGTTTCACCTGAATCTCGATCAACACTACACGAGTGTCTTTAATAAACCGAGGAAGCAGTTATATGTCAACTGGTAAACTAAAAAATAAGTTCATTCACCTGTTTTTAATAATCTCGTGCTTCAAGACGTTCATCCTATCCTGTGTAGGTGTGGCATAACAACGATCTGCTCTGATTGACAGCCTCTTATCATCTGACGTCACCGACACCTCAAAGAACAGAAGCTGGCGTAAAACCACATCCACAGGGAAATCGCTCTTCATGTAAGGACTAAGGAAGCTGCCGTCAGGAAACATCTTTAAAGAAATGGTAAAATTTCCCTCTCCTTCATCGCTAAACATCAGCTTTCTCTGACTGGGTCTCCAGCTGACGGATGAAGTCACGCCATATCTGGAATAGATACAGCTGAACTGAATTTCTATTTCGCGCACGCGTGTTATGATATCATCTGCGCCCACGGGAATCTCTAAAACTGAGTTGGAGTAGACAACAGTGGAGGGTGTGTGCCTGCTTGTTGTCAAACAACCGGTCAGCGGTGTAGTGAGAGAGAAGTGTGATGCTGTTTCCTTAGCTTTGCATCTGGTGTCCAGGAGTCGAAGATGCTCTCGGTCAATACCGCGGAGGAGGGACTTGGGAATAACAATAGTCATGTTATGGCTGTTGCAATGGACGTCGACTCCTGGGGCTAAAAAGAAGAGAGAACCAAGAAACGTTCTTAAATATTTAACTAATTATCTTGAAACTTTGACAGTTTAAGAGGGTCACGTATGGGGGATTTGCTCGCTTAGATTATATCTCATGTAGTGGGGAATGATGATGCATGTAGCTTTGCTTGTTCATATCTGTCTACACACTCACCCCTCTCGCTACCCATGCCCTTTCGACAGATCTACACGCAACCACACGAACTTTTTTGCTTTAAATATCACGCTCACTTCAGTACGTTCTATACATAATATCCAAAATTGTTGTTTACAAACAGGAAACTTGAAGGGTTGTTTTAACGGAAGACTGAATCCCGAGGATTTTATTGTTTTTGCCTATTTGTGCATGTTTATTTACATTAGCAACGGTTGCTTACCATAGCACGTCCGATTATCCGACGATAAGATTAGCTCGGGGTCCGGACATTCACATATGTAGCCTTCTGAAGTGTTAACACACTTGTGACTGCAGCCGCCATTATTGGACGAAGAACACTTGTCCAAAACTTAAGAAACAGAACAATTTGGTTACTAATGACAAGCAATCGGCCATATATTTGACTATCTTTCACTGCTCGGCTTCAATAGTTTAAATGTCAGGTTTACACATACAACAATTCCATACTGTTTTATTAATCCTTTATTATTGCTCTGGTTTATAAGTTTAAGATATGACCACAAGGAAACTGTCAAATTATCTTGTTTAAACCTCTCTGAAAAACACTACAACTAAAAAGTGACCTGATGGATGACCTTATATTTGATTCAAAAGTACTATTCGTTCGTTGCCAAACCCTACCTCACAGTTTCCTTTTTCGACAGCCAGTATTGTGATCGTGTACCTTAAAACTCCTATTGTTTATTTGTAGATATAAATGACGTGGTTGAATTTTATTCATAACAAAAAAAAAAAAAAATAAGACTTGAAAAAAAAAACCTTTGCGCCAAAGATAAAATTTAACCCAAAAAAAGGTTAAGTGGCCTTTAGCAGAGGCTGAAGATTCGTACAAGCATAAATTCTCTGACGTACCTTCTTTTTCGCAAATGAAAGGGCGGCGTTCTGAACATCGGTCGTCGTACCACTTTCCGAAAGGAGACGTGTTCATCACTACACACTCCTCATTAATGTTATTAGGTTCTCCAACACCCCAGTTGGAGTAAGTAACCTTCTGTCCATCGACCCAAATCCATTGGTTCTTATTGCTGTTGTCCCTGTGCAAGCCAATCCACATAGTAGAGGTTCTTTTAATAGCACCGGCGACTGCCAGTTGTTCAGAATCTGAGTTGACTATCAAAAGGTGAGAACTCATGGCCTCACAGGAGAGCTTTGCTGTATCCCATCTCAGGGCGTTTGCCGTTGAAAATTTATAACAGGAGTCATGGATATGAAACCAACCATTTGGACAAACCGCCTCTTAAAAAGAAAATATATGAATAGATGGCATTCAAACAAAACGGTAGAAGGACGCAGTCAACTTGGTTGCAAACATTTCTGCCAAAAGAGGTAACGAATAAATTTGCAGCGTGCAAGATTGAACTCTTCTCAATTCAAAATTCATCGAATACCAAATTTTTCAGTTGTACAGAATTGAAATGGTTTCAAGTCAAGATTTGAAACTAAATTCTTCTTGTTCCCCCCTCTTTGACATTCCATCCAAGTGCCGAACTCTTGATCTGTATAAATTTTATACAGAAATATAATATACTTGATCTCTTTAAAACAGATCGTGAGGTAACACGGAAGTCAGTAACGGTTTAAGACTATGACAGAGCCTGTCTTTTTAAATACCCAACTCCCATCTTCGACCACCGGTTCTTTTCCTTCGAAAACCAGACTCATATCGGTTTGTTTTTTCGGTGTGGGGGATTCGATAACGACCTTAAAGAAATACACAAGAAATTTTTAAACTGCGTAATCATCTATCTATTAAGGCTCGAAATCTTTTAAAAGACAAAAAAGACTCACGATTTTTGAAAAAAAAAAACTGATTAACGGAAAACTGAAACCCACGCAGCCTTTTTAAATCTTGAGCCCTTGAAACAACGCACTTTTAAAAAATACTTGAGCTACTTCGTACCATCACTGTATACATCACCCAGTTGTCCGTCTGCTGATATCTTTCCAGGATAGCAGCCAAGGAACTGAAGTAAGACTGCGTAAATTGGCACAAAATGCTTCAACATGTTAAACGCCCTTTCGCTGTGTTTCAAGAATACCCAAATGCTTAACGATAAACGATATAAATGCCTTGTTTTTCCAGAGCTAAGCCAATCAAATTGATTGACATAAATGACATTGACCCTTTCTGTTAATTTGTCAGCGAATGTTGAAGTTTGCATTAAAAAGCAAGGCAATATAAACTATCTAGAATTAAATTTATGGAATAATATTGTAATAGTGTGAAATATAACTGTACGTTAGGTGACATTTTGAACTCTTTTTAGATTTAACCGTCAAATAATCAAGCAAAAGGGCACATTTTGTTAGTCTAATAAGAGCCATAAGGGCTCTTAGTCTATTTATGAACACATCAAATTTCAATTTTAATCCCCAATAACTCAGTGAAATAAGTAGTTTTTTTAGAATTTTTATTTTTTACATTATACCTTATCAAAAATCTTTTCGACTCTTCTCTTTCCCTCCCGAGACATTTTTTTAAAACGGAAAACATACTTCTAAATATTCGTGACTGTTTCCTTGATCGGAAGTCTAATTTAATTCAACATGACACATTTAAATATTATAGGCAATCATCACCCTATTTATTATTCGTTGGGATATGTAATATAAAGGTTATTTATACATGTCTTCTTTTCAGGTTGTGGAACTAACACTTTTTTCGAGGAAGTTAAGGGAATTCATTGCAAGGCCTATTGCATTGAATCATTTTTACAGTGTTACTATGGTTACCGAAACACTTCGAAATCTTGTTATTGTTCCTTGTGCTCATTAAAGCCATTGCTATTTAGACCTCGCTGACATTGGTAGTTTGTAACATGTGAACAACAAAGGAAAACTTAATACAATTAACTCTGGTATTTGCAGTAAAATGACACCATCGTGATGAGAAATAAACGTTCATGAGTCATAAGTCAAGTAAAAAAAAGTTTGATCTCCCTGACTTGCAGACAATGATTGCTTTGATAAATGCATACGGTACATATAGAGAGAAAACTAACCCTAAATCAATACTAAAAGGCATTTTTACTTTGGTCAGTACTTAACCTATAACATGATAAGTATTTCAAGTCCTTAACCCTAGTAACGGCTTTTTTCAGTGCTTAACCCCGACCTGACTCATTACTTGACTCAATGACTGATATACTCATAAAATAAGCTTTCTCCATCGTGATATTATAATGTTCATGCAGAATAGACATGGGTGAGAACTGTTTCATAATTTACAAATGTTATCGAATTAGTAAATTCAGCTGCTATTTCAAATTTTCAATTGCTTCTGATTAGGAGCCCATAACCCGTTCTGAATGACTCCATCAAGTGCCTTACTTGGCCGATGGCTGTGTTTATGAAACAAGAAAAGATCTAGCCGCGTACATGCAACTCACGAATAACTACAGTTATCATTCAATGCAAATTTTTCTTCCCTTTCATTGGCCGAGAGCCCACCACGTGACCTGGAAAAATAACTGCCTGCAAATAATGGTCTGCTCATGCGCAATGTCTTCCATCTGTGTTTGGCTGCAAAAAATATGCCGCTCATGCGTAAATGAAACCGCACTTTTCCCCTTCTTGCAATCGCTCTTGCTAGAAAATGGCAAAATGTCAGGTATTCATTAAAAAACAAACTCGGTGACCGATGATAAAACAATTATTGAACTCGGTTATCACAAAATATTGTGATTTGTCAGTGTCTCGCCTCAGTCTTCGGCTTCGGCAAATAATTGATCTGCTCACCACCGACGAATCACGATATTTTGCTCAACCTCGTCCAATAATTGTTAATAATTAGGCGGCTGGGTGAGGTCATTGACATTACAGGGAAATCTCAGACCGAGACCTCGATGTAGAGATAAACGCAACGTGAATTGGAACTTGCAATATTACGCGTGTTGTGTAAGCTGCAGAAAACAGTCAGTTTCATTCATTTGTACCGCGTAGTTGTCGTGCATTGGCGATTTAAGGCGACGTCGTCTGAAGAGGCAATCTCAATTGAGTTGTATGTGAGAACTTCTTACAGTCGCCTAGCGATAACTCGAACCTTCTAGGAAAATCAAAAAAGTTCAAGTCATCGGGCGTTCGATGCAAATAACGGAAAATAAGGAAAATTGTACGGACGGTTATAGGGTATTGGGCACGATTACTTCAACATGGGGTTTACGTAATTCCACTTCAGTAAAGATAGATATTCAAGCATTCAACTAATACCTGTTTGAAAGTTTATTACTGCATCATTTAGTGACGGAAAAAACTTGTTTAGTTAAGTTTTATTTTGGTTTTTATTCGCAGAAATCAAGACATCTCCACCTAAGTCCCCTTCATCTATGTTCAGTCTATTATTCTTCTTAGTTCCTCTTGAACCCGTTACTGTTCATAACCATCTGCAAGCACGGAATACCCAGGTGGGTTCTTGCGTGACTTTTTGTATGCTATCATTGCTGTACCCACCAAGCAAGCGACGCAGAACACTGACAGAGCAATCACGGGAAACGGACTGTAGCCTGGAAAGAAACACAATACTCTTAATCACTTAAGAGGTTTTTAAGTCCAGTCCTTTTTTAAAAGGTGTTGCATTGACAACACGGAACATGCATTTTAGAGAAAAATTTTCAATCAATTTCACTAACCATTTTATTTGAAGTTTACGGGCCAGTTGTTAAATCAAAAGTTGAAAATTAATTTTTGCTGCCAATCGTCAATCTTCTGACATCATTTTCGTGGCAAAATCTGTTTAACCTCAAAAGTATTGAAATTGCTAATTAAGACTAGTTTGGAAGAGACCAATTCTGTTTGCAGCTGAATTGGCGTGACGTTTGTCCAACACTGATCACAAAATATGGTGGTACAGACCATTCAACATGCTGTTCCAGGGCCATCCAACATGTGGTTCTAGGACCATAAAACACGTTGGTCCAACACCAGCCAACCTGCTTATCAATCACTACTGAGCATGTTGGTCCAATTCCGTTCATTATACTCTTCCACACTATACCACAATGTTTGATCTAAAACATCACCATCCAACACGTTGGTCCAACACCATCTTGGTCCAACACCGTTTAACGTTTTTTAACCAATATTTTTTGCACATCATGCCTGGTCATGTTGGTTCAACATCACGCAGCATTCTAGTCCAAGACCATCCAACATGTTTTTCAAACATCATGCTGTAAGTTGGTCAACCACCATAAATCTGTTGGTCCAACACCATGCCACATCACGCTATCCAGCACGCTGATCTCACAACACCCAACGTGTTGGCCCAACACCTGGTAGCATGTTAGTCCAAAGCCATCCAATATGTTTTTCCGACACAATCAAACAGTTGATCCAACTCCATTGATGGAGTTGGGTTCCGCGTGATCGTTCTTTGATCCTGTTTTCGTTTTCACCTCATCCATTAGCATGGTATAAAATCTATCACTGATAAACACATATTTTAAAAATTATTGAGCATGTTTCATGAAACAGTGTTGGACGAAGTTAAGGCGGATAAACTGTGAATCAGCTGGAACAGATCCTAAGGTTACTTACTTCTTTTATCTAAAACAATCGAGTTGGTGTCCTCACGTTTTTCACGTGCTAGACGAAGGGGGCCCTGGGACACCGAGTACACATCATCGATCATGTGACGGTCCTCGGAGCGCTTCTTTCGGTCTCTTATCGGGCAGGGCTTAGCGCACTGAGAAGTTGGGTCTGTTGCGTTACAAATAATCACGTGACAATGGACAAAGACAAGTGGGTGGTCAGCAATAAACTTGAAGGCTTCCAGGAAAAACCGCTGGGCACTAGGTGAAGGCGAAGGAAGGAGCTTTACGGTTTCGTCAACAGGACACCTTGAAAAAAGAAATACGGTAAAGTTATCCATAGCTTCTAATTGCTGTCGTTGTTTTTCATGTTGTCTGTCGTAGGAATCGGCAATGATTAACCTTTCGTATTAAGGTTTCTAAGGCGGTAAATATATCCACTCTATTTGGTTCGATTCTTCGAAACAGAGAAAAGAATTTCTACAGCGATACAACCGGCCTGGATACAGTTTGGTTGGATGATGATGGCCGCGTCTTTTTAAGCTGGCTAGTTTAGTGTTATTTGTGTTTTAATGAATAACAAAGCTATAATAGAATAAAGTCA